AACTAATGACATTTAATGCAAACTATGTTGTTTTAATGCCATACTTTAGAAGGCGGAATGTTTCTAGTGCTAAATAGTTCTTGTTTAAATTTGCAAGATGGTAATGTGTTATTACAAATGTTTGACTTTGGCGTGTACATCCATATAAACGTTCAGGCATTTCACAAATCTAAAAGGGGGAGAAAATTCTGTTGATGGAAACGTAACTAGAACAAGAGCTGTTTTTAGAAATGCATTCTCATTTACTATCTGTTTCTTATATTTGTGTTTATTTTTATCTTATTTTCGTTCAAGAAGTGAAAAAAAATTTTAAGGACGGAGGGAAAAGGTGGTTTGTTTTGACTCGCTTTTATCAGTATATTCGTTTTGAACACTTGTTCTAAGTACGAAAATAAATCTTCCCACTCACAAACTTTGTCTTTTTATGTAACCTAGATAACTTCCCTTAGAGAGACGTGAAGGAGATTTTGTGTAATTATTTATTGATATAATAAAGAATAACCAAATCTATCATTTTTTAATATTTAATAAGTGCAGGCTTTCAACCTTCGAGCAGTTCATTAAAATTTAATAAAGCAAATTATTTAAATCATTTCCATAATTATTTTGTAAAAACTGTATTTTGCAAAATGGTCATGGGTAAACAATTTTTTATTCAGTGAGCTAAGAAAATTAACCTCACATCATGAAATACATTTTGCTTACAAGCCTGTGAAAGATCTCTCACATAGTAAAAATGCCCACTCGTAACAGAGTGCACAAAGACGCAAACATTAGCAGTGTTCTTGAAATTCGGCTCTCTGCTGCTAACGTAGTTACCTACGGAACTTCCAGTTTTCTTACTAGTTCAGATTCTCAAGTTCAGATTCTGACGAAAGGAGTGGTTGCAAAGGTATTTTTTAAAGTTTTTCATACATTAAAGTTAATGCGAGTGAGTTTCTCTTAGAAAGTTCTACACGAAGGTGTCTCTCCCTTATTGAAGAATCTCGTGAACGGGCTGCCTGAATGAGCGTTTTCGTGGTTTTCTTTATGTTTAACAAGTATAGGAGCCTTTTCCCTAAGTCCCTTATAATAAAAGTCCTCCACTAAGGCATCCCACCCTTTAGGCAGATAGCCCTCGAGTGCTTTCTCATAATCAAATAAAGCAAAACCATACCCTTGTTGAAGATTAACGCGGATGCGAGCCGGTTAACCTTAGAAAATCCTCCATTGAGGTATCCCTCCCCTTAGGCAGATAGCCATCATGTGCTTTGCCGTAATCAAATAAACCAAACCAAAACGCATGTGGCAGATAGCTCGATTGTGCTTAACTGCATTTTTTAAGTAGCATATATGTTCGAAAGCGCGAGAAATTGGGTTTCTTTGCCTTATTAATTTCAATTTTATTTTTCAAGTAGACTATCGTAGACCTATAATAAAAGCAAATTTTATAAGTTTATAGTTCCTCACAATATTTAATGCTTTTAATTTGCAGACAAAAAAAGCGCTTACAAGTGGCCACAAGAATATTTATATTTAATGAAATTTTGTAGCTGTGTAAATTTTTTTTTTTTTTTTTTTTTTGTAACTATGGTTAAGATGCGTACTTTTTGATTATTTATTCATTTTATTAGTTTTATGTAAACGAAAGTATTTCGAAAATCTAGTAACTCCACGTTACCTTAAAGCCTGTGTCTGCTCGTTGTGGAACACAAAATGTTTTGAAATATTTTCTACATTTTCATAATTTTGAATAAAACCTACTATATTTTAAATCGAATATCACGTTCAATCTAAAGTTAAGAAGAAGCGATTAAAATTTCTCTTTCGCAGCCCTTTTAATTTATTTTAGGTTAAGATGCGCATGTTGTAATGCATTTATTATGGTTACAAATTGGATTCGAATAGCTAAATTATGGCAAAGCATGCGAGAGCTATTTGCTTTGGGTTGTATGGTTTCACGTAACGATTTTTAAATGTTCAAATGAAAATATGTATCCTGCAGTTATAAAAATATTTTTAAAAGAACACTTAACAGAATTCACTTCTAAGAAGTACTTATACGTCGTCTAGCTGTCAATGTGTTAAAACTATTTCTTGCTGAAATAAATAAATATTCGTCTTACAGCTGTTTGTATCTAGAAAGCTCTATTCCGATATCCATTTTAATGTAAGTCGCATTTAAATTGTACGATATTCATGGGATCAAAATATTTATAGCACAGATTAGGATGGTACTTATTTGAAAAAAAATGCGAATCCTTTAAAGTTACTGAAACTTGTTTTAAAAATTGGCAGAAATCAATTTAATTTCATGCACAGCGATTTAATTCATTTTCTCATTTTTATTCAAAAATTCGAAATTTATTAATAAATTTATTTTAATCACGCTTCTTTTTTGCTTATGCTATTCATTATTCTTTCTGTCTTAAATGGAATTGTTGATAAATGCCCTCTAGACTACGATTTATTGAACAAATATTTGGTTTTATTTCTAAAAAATATAATTACAGTATTTGATAATTCATTTTAAATAGTAATGAAATAGTCTAAAATTTCATGCGCTATTAACTTTCGAATAATCTTTTATGTCTGTTATAATTTTCAATGTGTGATTTTTCATTCTATTTTACAGCCCTGAGCTTTTACTTTCACCCTTAGAAAAGAAAGAATCAGAGAAAAGAATTAAGTAGAAAAATATTAGAATGTTTATATTTTATTATAAATGGGACAACCTTAAAGTAAGTTTATGAAAAATGTGCAAAAGTTTCATGACGAAGTATTCAGAATAACTGATATTTATTCTAAATAGACAGAAATAACAGGCCAGAAAATACATAATACCCCCCCCCAGGTTACTGAAACTTCCGCTTTTTGCATGAATAAATCGGAAGTAAAAAATTATTTCCTGTTCCACACTTTTCATCGCTGTATGATAAGGAAAAAGAAAAACATCCGTAATGTTTATCAAACTACCCATTCACAAACGTCAACTGCATTTCGTAAACAGTGGCTTGATTTTTGATTTCTAATTCAAAGTTTTGTTTCTTGTTTCTGATTGTTATATATGACCGACTGCGGTTTTATTTTTATGAAACTTAAATTAATGTGCGCCATATAAGTCTAACAACAATAAGATTAATCGACTCGCCAGCGGCAAAGAAGTAAAGTCGCTGAACACTGGTAGTTCGGTCCGAGGTTCAAATCCCGCGAACAGGCTGGCTGCATGGGCGTTTTCGTGGTTTTCCCCATGTGTAACGTATATACAAGCCAGTTTTCCATAAAAATCCTCCACGAAGACATCCCTGCCCTTAGGCAGATAGCCTTCGAGGTTTTGCAGTAATCACGTAAACCAAACCAATAAGATTAATCAATAATTTTTTCCTGGTATAAGTTTTCTTAATATGTTACATGTACCATAATAGCCTGGATGATTTTCTTGTATTCCTCGCGCGCTGTCTTAGAAAGATTCTCCACAAAAGCATAGAAGTTTGTCTTTTTGGATGATAATCGTCGAGTGCCTTGCCTTAATTTACAAATTCAAGTCTACCCAGATTCTTATTCTACAGGCTAGGGAATTAAGCAATATCGTAAAAAAGTAAAATAACATTAACAAAAGTTACTTTTGAAATAGTAAAACGAAACATGAATGTTGTGAAGATGTATTTATTAAGAAACGTGTATTTATGAAGAATGTTTCATTATCATGGGTGTTACTAAATTGGTCGAAAGAATGAAACGTTAGAAATGGCCGATATCTGATTTGAAAATCTGTTGTGGAAGCCCAAATTATATAGTATTTTCTTTGCACTGATATGAAAATTTGAATTTTCAAATGAGGGGATACAAAAATATGCAAGAATGAGGAATTTTATTTATTTATGAGAACTGAAAGAAAAATATTTTTGTGAAATTTTTTTAGTTTTTTATTAGTTCTTGTGATAAAGTACGTGATAATGTTATAAAATATGTTATTTTAAATTAATGTTACCTATTATTACTGTTTAACAACTTTCAAAACTTATTCGTAGTCATGAAGACTATTTAGGTCTCACCAGTGACCGAGTGTTTAGACCATTGAATTCTAGGAGCTCGATCCCGGAACAACGGGCTGTTTTCCCAATGTTTAACGATAATCCGAATCATTTTCCCTTTGATAGCCCTTCACAAAGGCATCCCTTCCTGTAAGCGATAATATTCTTTAGCTTTGCCGTATACAATTAATCATGAAAACTACTTTAACTAAGTATGAAAACTACTTAAAGCATAAGAATCTTAGACTATAAGGCGCAATAGAACACAGTCTTAAGGCAAGGTCCAGAGAGAGAGGTAGGAGGCTAATTTAGATTCGATATACCTACGTCTTTTATAGGACTCGTCTGCTTTAGTTAAATTTGTCGTAAGTTACCGAAGTAGATAAGACTGATATATGTGATTGGAAAGGAGGTTAGATCTTCATTATTACCTAAACAAATATTGAGCCTAAAGCCCAAGGCCTTAGAGGTCCTTAAAATGTACCTTATGTTTCCTTATAACCCTCCTTCTTTCTTATAAATGCAAGAAAACTGGGCGTTAAGAAGCTTAAAAAAAAAACTTTGTGGATAGGACCTTACCTAGGTTGTTTAAATCGGATCTTGGAGTGCGTCATTAGCAATTAGTTACGAAACTCTTCTCGCTTGCATTGTGTACGTGTATTAAATAATATTCTGTGTTCATTTTCTTCTGTTGCTTTGCACTGTACAGACACTTCTCTTAAATTCTTAAGAGAATATGGCTTGCCTGAAAAGTGCGTGCTTCTTTTGGTCGTATTAGATGTATTTTCAGTGTTTTTTAAATAGTGACTTAAGACATTTTGCACTTTATTTTTTAAACTGCGTGATAATATTTTATGCTGTGTGTGTGAGGCTGCAGGTAAATTAAGATTTTCATTTACTTTGCATCATGATATCTAAATAATATTTCTCAGTATGAAGTTGCATTGCTTATACTATTAGATTCATAAATGTATTTTTCTCTTTCAGAACTGACTTCATATCATTGAAGTCACTTTTGCCAAGCAACCAAGAATACACAACTCCGATTAATCATGGAGTTAGCTCATACTAAAACATATCAGGAGACGTTAGAACATTTCAATACCGACCCAGAGAGAGGCCTTACTCTGGACCAAGTCAAAAAATACCAAGAGAAATATGGCCCCAACGGTAAGATTGAAATTATATGATTTGTTATCAAATATTAGGATTTATAATTTGTTAACCTATTCTATACACGATACTGTAATCATTTTCCTATTTTATATAAAAAGATAAATTTTGTAACATATTTTTTTTCTATTTAACACTATAATTCGCTCCTCTTATAATAAAAATGGAATTTGATTTATTAACTGGAAAATATGTCGCTCGTTTCGTTAAAATTATTGCAAAGTACTTTGAAACATTTTCGAGACAGTTATTTGTTAATAGAATACATTCTGCTGTATTTTTGAAGCAGATGAAATTATAATGATGCTAGTAAAAGTTTTGTTTTAACAAGACGAACTTTTGGTGCGAAACAGAGGATATATTTTCTTTTTATCTAAGATGATTCCATTTCATATTTCTACTTTGATTTTTGTTTCATAATGGAAGTTTTCCGAAAATAAGTAAGGCCCACCAGTGGCCAAACGGTAAAGTCGCTGAACACTGCTAGATCGGCCCGAGGCTCGAATCCCGTGAACGGGCTGGCTGCATGGGCTTTTTCGTGGTTTTCCCCATGTGTAACGTGTATACGAGCCACTTTTCCTTCTTAAAAAGTCCTCCACGAAGCCATCCCTCCCCTTACGCAGATAGCCCTAGTGTGCTTTGCCATAATTTAATAAACCAAACCAAACTGAAAGTAAGTATTAATACATATTTTATTTATGTACTTTTCTCTGTTAATTTAAATCACAGAATTTAATATATATATTCCTCTGTTAGTTTAGGTTCAAGAATTTTAGAAATTAAGATTAGTGTTTTTGAATTTTCTAATTCCTTTTATGATCGTTTAAAGGTCGGAAAGAGATGAAAACAAATAAAATATAAATTAACTTTAGTTTTACGTTGAGAGATTTTCTCTTATACATGTATAGCAACGGAGTGAAAACAAATGTGAATTAGCAAATTTTCTATGTTCTAGCAAACAAAGTATGATACTTTTTTCATGAAATAAATATTAAAGCAGGTTCTTAAAATTAAAATTCTGTTAAAAAATTGCTTCAGAACTAAACCAAATAGCCCTCTTTAAATTAATATAAAACTAAAATTACTGTTATTTAAAGCCTGAACTATCATGCAAATTAATATGCATATTTTTCGAAACATCTTTGCAACAGGTTATTATTATGAAACTTAACGAGAAATTAATTAGATATTTTACTCATTCGCTGAGATGATAGGAAAGTTTAGAAACATGCCTTTCAAATATACAGTTAGTCAATAAAGTCTGCGTACATCAAGAAAAGTAATATCAAATCCAAATTTTAAGGTGAGAAAAGGGTAGTTTCTTAAAGTTTTATTTTTTAAATATTAAGTTTCAATAAGGGACTTTGAAATTATTTAACTGTAACATTTTCATATCTAATAATTTATGCACACTAATTTTTAAAAGATAAGTGGGCCAGAAATCAAATCCATAAAGTTTGCGTACAACGCGAAGGAGGCGGGGGATTTTATCTAACTTTTAAACTTCAAATTTGAGAATGCAAAGAAGGTTACACTTTAAGGTCATTGACTTCCGAAGCAAATTTCACGTGGTGATTGGAAGTTGCTATTCTATTTTCTTGACGAAAATGACAACCAATAAAGAAATTCCTTTAGTTACGAGACAACTAATATCAAATTGAGAGATAAAGGTAAAACTCTTCGTTATATGGTAAAACCATGGGGAAACCATTTCTAGTGTGCAAAGAGTTATTCAAAACTATCTTGACACTGGTAGTCTTGCTGTAAACCAAGATGTGGGAGACCGAAGAAGCTAACGCAGAGAGAAGAAAGAAAAATTCTTTACGAATTAAACAAAAAATCCTAAACTTTCTGCTGCAAGCATTGCAAAAGACATTTTTTTAACTAGCAACAAGGAAAATTTCTCCTGAAACTGTACGAAAAGTGCTGCGAAAGTCCGATTATCATGGACGCAAACATAGGTCTAAGCCATACATTTCCGAAACAAATAGAAAGAAAGAATTGCTTTTGCCAAAACATATTTAAACTCTTCGCAGGACTTCTGGAACAATGTTAATTTGGTCAGATGAAAGTAATGAAAGTAAATTTACAATATTTAAAGTTAATGGCCACCCTATTGTATAGAGAAAACCAGAAACAGAACTGAATCTGAGAAAATTTAAATCCAAACTGTAAACATGGAGTTGGCGGTGTGATGGTATGGGGGTGCATGTCGTCGAAAGGAGTTGGAAATTTTCACATTATTGATAAAGTCATGGATAAGTATGTTTATCTGGATATTCTGAAGAAAACTCTACGAGACAGTGCCCGAAATTTAAACCTTTCTAATACCTTTATTTTCCAACAAGACAACGACCCGAAACATACAGCTAAAATTGTGAAGGAATATCTCCTCTATCACACTCCAAGACAGTTGCGTACTACTCCGCAGTCACCAGACCTCAATCCAATCGAACATTTGTGGGAAAAATTGGAGAAACGAATTCGAAAACACAATATTACGTCGCCGAAATATCTATTAGTTAATTGCAGGAAGAATGGGCGAAATTTACGTCGGATGACACTGAAAAACTAGTTCAGTCAATGCCCAGACGTCTGCAAGCTGTTTTGAAGATAAAGGACATCCTACAAAGTATTGAAGTATATAAAAACGTAGTTTTGCTTTTTTTTTTTGAAAGTGTACGCAGACTTTTGGAGGGCATTTCTGAGTTTTTTGACAAAATATATTTTGAAAAAATGTAAAAAGTTTGCACTGATATTATTTCTTTTTATTTAAGCTTACAATTTTAGCTAATAGAAGAAAAAAAAATGCAATGATTAAAATACATTTTTCTATGCTTTAAGTGTTTTTTTAATTTAAAATTTAGTCTGTATGCAGACTTTTGTGACTAACTGTAATGTTTTCCGATCTACTGGTCTTGAATTCGTAGATACAACCTTACTGTTATCTGAAATAAGTCAAGCACCTTTAATTATACTTCATTCGAAATTTATAAAATAGCTCAGTATTTTGAAAAAAAAATAATAATGCAACAGAAAAGTTAGTCTTATTTCAGCCAGATACCAGTATTTGCACTTTATTAAGTTTTTACGATACAGCATAAATTCTCAAAGCTTCATATGTGAAAAAGTTGGTTGCTTTTTTTTTTTTTTTTTTTCCTTCATATAATTTAATGCAGAATTTGAAACAGAAAACTTTTCCAAAAGCATGAAATAATCTAATTTATACGATTTACTTGTCTTTAACATATTCATAATCTGATAAGTTTTTGACGTGAGTTATAACACGTTTTCTTTTTTCTTACAGAACTTCCCGCTGAAGAAGGTAAATATTTTTTTATCTGTTTTTAAGCTTATAAAGATACATTTTTTTTCCTATGGAAATGATTTAAAGATTTACGAAACGCCATTTTTTCTTTCTTTAAATTTATAACAAATTTTTCTTAAGAGGATTATAAAAGCTTTAAGGTCCTAAACTTTGTATTACAGAAAAAGGATTTCCTTTTCTTCCTGAAGTAGTTCTTTTATTTTAGTTGTCATTTGTCTATCTAGACTAACTCTTTAAAGTAGTAAACTAAATTCCGTTTCAAAAATCTGGGACGACATGTAGAACAGAAAAATTATTGACAATGTCGTAGCGTCTATTTCATTTTTTTATTTATATTAGAAGAATATCTGAAAGCTATCCATTTCCTGTTTCTTTGCTCGAGTTTGTGAAAATATATATTTTGATTGCATTTGCTTCCAATTTTACGTTATGTACGTATTACAGATTTTTTTAATTATGAAAATCTGACTAAATACAAAATTTTGAATGATTGTTAACAAATGAATTGGAAACCGAAAATATATATTCATTTATTTGAAATTACTATTCAAGGAAATGTATTAAGAATTACACAATAAAAATTTTCATGTCATAATTTCTATTTCCAATATCGAAAAGTAGGTGTTAGAGAAAATTAATTTGCTTATTTAAGGATCAATTGACTGCGAAGATTTAATATCGAGTTAATTATTGTTTTAGGAAATTTATAGACTACTAAAACTATTGCTTTTTACTCTTTGCCAACTTCATTAAACCTTTTAGTCTAATGAATAATAATTTTACTCTGGATTGAACTCCTTAAGAGTTTGATAGTTTATTTATTAATTTTTTGCATAATATTATGTGTAGTTATGCATAGTGGATAAAACAATTGACGACTAGTAGTTCCTCTAATATTCATATGTTGGTGACTGAAAGGAAGATCTATTTTGGGGTTTCATGTTTTTTCCATGTGTTACATGAATAAAGGTAAGTTCTTCTTAGAAGTCTACCACGAAAGTATTTCGTATCAAGCAGAGAAAGCACAAGTGCTTTGTCATAAATAAATTTAACTGACCATAATTTAAAAATAACAGTAATATAGCAGAAACTTGAAAATTTTCTTAGAACTTTTTTTAGAATATGCTTTAATTAACCTAATAAGCTAATTTCGAAGTATTTTATTTCTTAAAATATTAATTATTTGAAACTGAGAAGCTGCGGATCTTCAGCAATTCATCTCTGCATTATATTTATAGCGGGCCTCGTGTTTTCAATGTAACATGAATACAAATCCGTTTCCCTCTGAAATTCCTGCATGAAGGTATCTTATCCTAAGCGCGATGCTGTAGAATGCTTTGTTGGAAATGAATACCAAAAATTAGTAGTGAAAATAAAATCAGGGGAGTAGTACGTAGCTTCCTATTCACTACTAATCCAATTAAACGACTTTTCTGTTAAGCTAAAGTTTCAGAATATGCATTCTAGAAATGATCTAAATACTGCTAATTTTCTGTTTATATTACTACAGTAAGAAAAGTATTTATAATATTTTTTTCAATTTCAGGGAAATCCTTATTACAACTCATCCTGGAACAGTTCGATGATCTCTTAGTAAAAATTTTACTCTTAGCCGCCATTATTTCATTTGTAAGTTTTTAAGTTTTTTCTATCTTTTAGTTTGTAATAATCATGTAAAGCATCTATAATACATTTTTATTTCAGACTTTGTCTTTCTGTATGCAACCTTATTCCTTCTATGCTTTATTGGCATTTTATTCTCTTAAATTTGAATAAATTCCTGCTCATTACTTAAAATAATACTCCATAAAAGTCTGCTTTCATTTCCAATTATGTTTTGTGAATACATTATTAACTATATATTTGAACATTTAGTAAATTCCAAACTAATAGATACAAAAAATACGAGAATCATGTTTGAGTTGCTTTCCAACTTGTTTTACCTGCCTATAGTATAACATTCTGAATTTTATTTGTTGTATAAGCATTATCCTAAGGTTGTCGTTTTGATTAACTAGTTTATTAACAAAAAAATTAAATAATGTTACTTAAAAGTGAAATCTTCACCCGTTATGATTAAAGAATAATTCTAAAAATTAAATTTTACATTAAAATATCTATTAAGCATCCGTAGGAAAAAACTCGTGAATGATGAAAAAAACTGATGTTTCCATTTTTAAAAACACAGGAAGTGTACAAATCATTTCTCAAACAAACAATTTAATCAGTGCCGCGCTTTTGCATGTTGATAACTCAAGAAACTTAACTTTAACTCAAGAAAACAGTAGCCTGTCAATACGTTTTACATTGAAGCAAACGCGGACGCAGAACTTTGCGGGGGTAAAAATGAAAAACCACAATAAAACTCGCAGGTAACGTTTTAAGGAGAACTCACAACGATGCATATTACGGATCTAAAGTACGCATATTACAAACTGATTTGCATTTGTTACGTTTCATTTCTTTGTCTGCAGTAGTAAGCAAACTATTCATAATAAAATAGAATATACATAAAAAAAAACTTTTACATCGCTTTAGTTAAACAGCCGTTTAATTTCAGAAACGTGTTTTATTTTTTATTATTATTCATAGTAGAAAAGGGACGTTAGTTTCGAATGCGATATTAGTTTTAAAACAGCATTTTTCGTTGAATCACTATAAACAGCGAATCACTTTTCAAATTGTTGCCACCAAATATTATTCCCTGTATTATATTTAAAGAAATTAAATAATGGAGAATCTGCTTTAATGTGTGAATATTTCTCGCATTGTGAAAAAACAACCGTGCCTAGAGCCATCCACGTTTGAATAACATGGTCCTCCATCCGAACATGGGCACCTGAAAGCCCGAATTTGGAATTAGTTTTATTATCTATTTGATATTTTGTAAACCTTTAACGAATTTTTGATTAAACAACTCAACAATGTCAAAGCGGGCAGTGAGAAGAGTAAACTGAAAAAAAAAAAAAAAAAAAAAATCTCCAGCGTGGCAAGGTTGTCTATCAGAAATTCTAAAGATATGCTGTTTTTAAATATTTTTTATTTTGCTGTTGAATCAAATTTTATGTGGCGTAAGGGCTAAGAACGTCATAATTAATAAAGTAACCACACAAAGCTTTAGTAATAAAAAGACAAAAGGTGTTTTGTAATTTAAGTAAGCAATGATTAAGTAAGCAAATTAAGTAATGAATGATTTATAGATGAAAGTTTAAAATAATCTTAGGAAGAAAAATGAGCATTGATATGATGAATTGAAAAACAAATTGCAGAAAAATGTATACCAACGCTTAAAGTTGTATCGGGAATTCTAAACATACCTGCTATGCTGTTTTTAATCTTTTTTTAATTTTGCTGTTGAATTTTATGTGGCGTAAGGGCGAAGAAAATGACGCTTAATAATAAACCTAAAAGAAAAAAGTGTTTTAGTAGAGTGAGTGTAGCAGCAAACTGGTAGACTGCGAGCTCAGCGACAGCGTAAAAAACCTTAACAAACCCTTTTGGGCGATCGCTAAAATCTGAAACCTTTCGGATTTTTTTCATTATTATTTTGTGCATTTTAATTAGTGAAAACGAAATAAATAATAAAGAATATGAATGTTTATTGTTAGAAAAATATTTTATTTAATTAATATAGCAATGAAGCACGTGGCGATACCTTTCTTTCAAGATTTTTTTCAATGTGTCTAATAGTATAAGATCACTCATTTTCTAGTAACTTCTTTTCTTGATTTTGGGTTGGCCCATCAGCGGCCGAGCGCTAAAGTCGCTGAACACTGGTAGCTCGGTCCGAGGTTCGAATGCCGCGAACGGGCTGGCTGCATGGGCGTTTTCGTGTTTTCCCCATGTGTAACGTGTATACGAGCCAGTTTCCCTTAAAAATGTCCTCCACGGAGGCATCCCTCGTCTTAGGCAGATAGCCCTAGTGTGCTTTGTCGTAATCTCAATAAACCAAACTTGATTTTGGGTTAAAAATACTTCGTTGTTTATAACTCAATGATCATCTACGAACTTAGCCCAGCGATCGATTTTTAAACAGTCTACCAAAACTCTGAGTTATGTTGGAAATTCGAGACAAATTTAATTTGAAAAATTAATAATTTTCGTTGTATATATATATGGATGCAAAGAATAATGTTCTACAGTGTTTAGTTTGATGGCTAATCAATAATACGTTCGTAAAATCATAAAGTACATTCAGTATTAAATAAAAAATCTATATCGAAATTTGAAAACCTTCAGTATAAAAACTGCCATTGTAAATTGTACTGTAGTTGCAAATATGCATTTGTGCAAACATTTAAAAAAAATGGTTCGGGCAGAAGTGTGTCAAACCTTTATTTCCAAATTTGACCCAAACAGATACCGTCCTAAATAAAACTGCCCATGTAACTGTAAAAAATGCATGTTGTTGTACAGTTATCTGTATAAGAAACAATACATACTATAATAAATGTGAAAGTATTTCCTTCTGTTTTTGTTATATTAAATTCTTAGAGGTACCAAAAGTAATCGTACTGTATAAATTGGTTAATATTTTATATCCGTAATTTTTAATTCAGAATAATAATTTAATTCAGCCTTGTCTGATTTTTCGACTATTTTTTTATCTGAGCTTACGATTTCACAGAAATATCTGCCTACAGTTATCTTCTGATAATCAAAAGATAGTTTAACGTAATAATGTCAACTTTGAAAAAATTCTTTAACGCTGTAGGAAAAATAACCAATTGATTCAATGTATGAATATTTAAAATAATGTTTATAAATTTCTTTTATTTATTATTATCAATAATAAATAATTATTCGATTATTTATTATTGATAGAAAAGATTAGTTTTGATCTGAAATTTATCTTTCTAGGTATTAGCGTTATTCGAAGAACATGAGGACGAGAGTTCTCAGGTTACAGCTTTCGTGGAACCTTTCGTCATTCTTCTCATTCTCATTGCTAACGCCATTGTCGGTGTATGGCAGGTATACTATCTCTTGATACTAATTTACTTTATACAGTGCAATGATTTATAGATGTAAGTTTTTATCATAAATGAAACTGTGTTTCTTGTACTTCTTTGCTTGAATCTTAAGAGCTTCATTTTTATTTTGTAAGAATGTCATTCAAAGCAAATTTTTTACATCATTATATCTGATGCCCTCGTACCAAATGGACAGATTGAAGGCCAGAGTAAAATATGGGAAAAGCTGAGACTTATTAACAGAAAAATAAGATATATTTACCAATCAAAATAAATAAAGCTTTTTATATTTCAGAATGGGAGATCTATCGAATATTTAAAATGTATGCTTATGAATATTACTGATGATTATATAAGAAAATCTAAAAAGCTAAATGAAAAGTATCTTCCGTGCTTCTGTAATTCTTTTCCTGAAGAATCTGTTTCGTATTATGCTCATTTTTTGTGAATGCTTTCACTTGCGTGTAGATTGCACAATATTTAATCCTTTAGTTAGCATATTTAATCACAGTTATCTATCGTATTTAAAAAATGCCAATGCGTATGATTTAAGTATTCAGCAACTTCAAAACAACAACAACAACAACAACAACAAACAAAAAAAAAAAAAAAAAAAAAAAAAACTATCATCTTTAAATTCTATCTTCCAAGTCAAGTCGCTCTAGATGATATAATAATTAAATCCCAAATGAAGGATATGAATTCGGTTTCTGCGTAAGATTAGTTGTATGTGTAAGATTCCCCCTACGCTTCGCGTAAGGTGCACCCTGGGCAACGTTCTCGGTGATGAAACAGCTGAATGATCGGTGGATTCATCCATTTGCATTTGTTACTTTCAAGCAAGTACCCGAAAATTTAAAATAAAATAAATTACATTAAACATTTAATGTTCAGTTGAAGTGAGATGTGTCTATGATGCTTAAGAGGGTTATTTAAATACACTTACAGGACATTTTCAAATATTAACGATGGAAATGAGACCATTGCTTCAAATTGCATATTTTGAACTGCATACAAACATATTTTTAAATGAAACATTTTCCATAAGCGATGTTATTGAGGCACTATGAAATGAATTTTATTTGCAAAAGTTGATATTTTAAAAGGAAACTATGCCCGTTGGCGAATACTTGAGAGTGTGATCTTTAGAACAGCCTTACTACAACTTTCGTATATCTAAAACTAACAATCATAACTGCGAGTATTACAACTGCATTCGTGTTGCATATATTTTTACAGTTAAATTTAGGTGAAATTCTTTTTTAATGTGTAATTACTGTTAAAAATCGAAGAATGTGATTGTAAAATATTTTCCTGTATATTTATCTTATAATCGAATAACTATTTAATAAATTATACAATGTTCAGTAAGATTTTAAAACTCGGAACCTTTTTTGTTTGTTTGTGAAAAAGAAATTCACGCTGTATCATAGTGCTCTGGAGAGTCGCTTAGATTCACATAATTGAAGTCTCTACCTTGTAAGCACGAAATATGCTGACCAGCGGCCGAATGGCTAGAAATCTGATCCTTGGTATCTCACCTCGGTTCAAAACTAGCTAAACGAGCTGGCTGCCTTAGGAGTTTTCGAAGTTTCTATTACGTGTAATGTGAATACAACTAGTGTAGCACTGAAAGTCCTCCACGAAAACAATCCTTCCCTTAGGCATATAGACTTTACGAGTTGTATCCAAATATTGAAAAAAAATTATGAAATACGATGCAAATACATAATTTTTAAATGAAGGCAAAATTCAGCTTTAGAATGTTTTTGGTTTTACAGGAAAATTATGTAGTTCGAAGAACAGACCGAGATTCGTTTTCCAGAAGAAGCAAAAATATTTTATTGATATTTCATCTTTTTAGTGCTACAATTCTACTTTTCACCTCTTCTGGCAGACTTTATTTATTTTTTAAGTGATGAATGGAATTCATAAATAAATAATGTATTTGCATCTTAAAAAATAAATTAAGTTATAAAATAAATTTATTTTACAACTAACTATAAAATAAATTTATTTTATAACTAAATAGAAAAAATAAGTAATGAATAAATTTATTTAGAATTAGTTATTTTTTAAGTGACGAATCCCATGTTCTGAAATGCAGATAAGGATGTTATAGTTTTCTATAAAATCCACATTCAGCTAAAGCTAAATTTAAAATAGGTGTTCCCTTTTGGTGTATAACAAGAAAAAAAAAACCTTTAAACTGCAATTATTCAAGCGTAATTTTTCATTATATTAAGATGAAATTTAAGATAAATAATATAATAAGAAATAAATATAAATTTAATTTTCATTACCTAATGTAAAATAAAATTAAGTATTTTTGTTAAAAAAATCAGTTTATTATTCAATTTTCATTGTATTCGTTTTGGTAGTTATAACAGAATTTCCTCGGTGGGTCATATGCAACCCTCATCTTTGGTAGAAAAAAGTCCCCTTTTATATAAGTATCTTACCTTTTTTTTTTTTTTGTCTCATTTTTGTATTCAGTTTATACCAAGGTGTGTATCGATAGATCAATTGCCCAGTTTCGTTTCCGCAGGAAAACCTGGAATATTTTGGCAAATTATTTGCAAAGAGCTGGTGATAAACTAGCTTAGAATTTGATTAATAATATCAGTTTTTCTCCAATCGCAATGTTGTCTTTTGCTTTAAAATGTCCGTACTTAGAAGCTGACTGTTCACGTGCTCAGCTCGAATGAATAGGATATATTTTCCATTTTTTATTGTAAGATTTTACTTCTGCCACGATTTAATTTTCCGTATGAAATGACAAGGCCACTTCACTACATTTAGCAGGAAAACTTTTGATTTCTTTTTTTCTTCTCGGATTACTGAAGTTTCAGTTGGTTGATGTTATTGAATTATTTTCCTTCTTATTTCGAAATTTGTTTAATTTTTTATCTTGTTTCGAATATTCCCTCTATTCTGAATTTTAAATATAGAAAAGTAAATCTTGTCTTAATCAGCCGTGTTTGTCAATTGTTTTTCCCAAGTAATAATGTTCTAGTCGACGCAGCAAACAGCAAGCTTTTTAAAACCCCTAAATGGAATCACAATATATCATCTGTGAACTTTAACCTCTAACTGATCGTAGTTAAATAACGTTACTTAGCTAAAGTAATAGTCCGATAACTATTAAAATTTATAATATGTTAGAGATTTGGAAAATATAATGTAGTAAATATAATTTATCTATTCTTCTTGCATTGTGCAAAAAACTCTCACTTTGATGATGTATATCGGTGCGAAGTCTTTCTACGACCAGGCTGAATCATTGTAAGAAAATTTGTCGTAGGAATGAACTCGAACATGAAAGTCGTTACCTCTGGCGATAATCTTTTCAAAGATTTAGGTTAAAGTCTATTCATAAAATGTTTTCAGAGAATATATTCATACCATATGCATCAATTAAAATTTAAACAGTTCTTCTGTGATAGCTGCTATACTTATCTTTATAAATTTACATTCTACAAACCTATCAATACTCTAAAAATATTTTAAAGTTATAAGTTATTTGATGCCCGGGTTCCAGAAGGCTTTATCTTCATGTCCTTATTTAGGTTAGCAAGTATTGCCAGAACTGCTTTGGCTTGTGTGCAAGATATTGCAAACGTCCCGATCCAAAAACTACAATTAATGCCTGTACCCCTGCTATCTATTTATATTCCGTTCCCCAGGCCCTGAACTATGTCTCATTCTATGACTTTCGTTTCCTATGTTTGTGTGTGTACATGTTCCGATTTTTTTTTAATGACTTCGAGATGCAGCCCTTCGTGTCCTTGAAAGCTCCTGCCTTCTGTGCTGTCCTTTTGCCAAAACCCTGGAATCCTTTAGTTCTGGGAAAAGAGGAAGAGTGCGGCCTCCGAAATTAGGACCTTTTTTATATAAGTTTCTTTAAGAAATCCTAATGACTATGTTGGCTTGAAACAAAACAGCGGGCATTTGTTTAAAGAGCGATGCAAGCAATAACTCACTCTGCTTTTAGCTTTTCATCGTTGTACAGTTGTCCCTACAACATAGTAGTATCCTCATTAGGACTTAAAATAGAATTCTGTGCCCTGTTTTGTGTGAAAACATAAACAAAATACTTTCCGAAATTGAAAGTTTATGCCTAAGGAAAATTCTGCAAGCTATGACTGTTCAAATTTTTGCTGAATGGTCATAATTTTGTATCAGCATAACTCTTCTTATGCCACTGAAAAATGATCTCCGTGTGAAATTATATAAATGCTTGATAAAAATGTTCATTTCTTGCATATTTAAATAAAACATACCGTGTATTTCTAGTGTATCTGATATAAACGATTCCAGGTGTTGGACTAGATAAGCTTCAATGCTTTATTCTCATAACTATATTTCGTTGTGGGAAAAGAGCTTTAATACCAGGGATTTTAAATGTATTATATTTCGATGTATATTTTGTATGTCATTATTACTTGAAATTTATATTGAATTTTCACTCTTGCTTTACTTTAAAAAGCTTGGAAAAATTTAGATATTTACATATTAGCGCAACAATCTTAGTAAAAGTCTCCAAATTTTTAAAATGCGCCAAATTCTCTCAACTGTACACAATGCAAATTTATTAGTTTCACAAGCAACATCGTCATTTTTATATGCGTTCTTTTTATTGCATTTCATATTCCAACGATGTTTATAGACAAATAGTAATATTTTTCATTTTAGACTAAATTTAAATATGTGCTTGTGGGAGCTGCCTAAAACAGAAGGAAATTCGATATAATAAACCTTCAAGATTACAGTAACTTCCACAAAGTCATGAATGTTACAATTTGTATTTGATTAGCTGTAATTCGTATACAAATTTCTTGGAAATGAGGAAAAAAATTGTAATATACGCACTTGGTTTCAAATTTGCAGTTGGTTTTAAAATATCCATCTGCCTTTTAATATAACAGTCAGATTTATGTATTGCTGGGGCAAAGAATTAATGAGAAGGAAATTTGGCTGCGAAGAGTTTGAAATGTTATATCAGACTGTAAATAGAATGGGAAAACTATGAGAGATATCTTAGCTCCGGATAAATAATCCGAAGAACAAAAAATAATTTATGTAAGAAATTTAATCTTTGAAACATATAAATCCGAAGAACAAAAAAGAATTTATATAAGAAATTTAATCTTTGAAATATATAAGTCTGTTTTACAAAGCGAAAAGGCTATGCTGAAGGTGTTTTACTCCCGGAATGAATTTCCGGAGGAATATGTTAAGAAACAAATGAAACTTTCTTCGTTACAAGTCTTAACAGAAGTGCAGCTACATTAATGCAGAAAATAAATAAAAATTTGAGACAAGGAAGTATCATCTATTCTGTTTATCCGAGTACAAAAATACAGAACTAGAAGAAGATGAATTTATACTCAAAACAATCGATCATCTATACAACTTTGTCGATCTGGAAACGCGTACCTACGCAGAGCATGGAAAGAGATTAAGGATTCACAAAATGAAGTAATAAGTCCAAAAGAAGAATTCATCATTACCTGAAATCGTATTTACTGTAATCGATCTAATGCCGAGATCAGAGGGCTAAAGAAAATAAAGTGCAACCAACCTAAATAAACAATTAAAATCAAAATTTTAAAAAGTGAATTCTTCGTCACTATTTTCAATACATGACTCTATCTAAATAATACCTAATAAATATCTAAATAACTAATAATACATATCTAAATATCACCAACAACTGCCCCGTGTGGTTAAAGTTGTGAAATACTGAAGCTCATATTGAACGAAAACGCAAGTACCACTAAATCTTGCATTTAAGTGACAAAGTTCAATGAAATCGCATTTAATTTTAATTGGGCTAATGTTATAGGTAACCAAAACTTGCGTAGGAGAATAAATGCTTTTTGCAGAATGACTATATTTGAAGAAACACATTTTAAATAGTTCGAAGCGACTAAACGATTTCGTCGGAAGTCTGTGATTCAAAAAATAGTTTATAAGCTTATGTCGTGAACAAATATTTTTCTCCCGTAATGTGCGCTATAATTTTTGCTGAAGTTGATTGAACACAGTCTTGATTGCAACTTATTTCCTAACTGCCTTTGTTATTTCAGATTACTTTAACAATCAACTTTTAATATAGTAACTTGCAAGCAAATTTGTACTAAATCGATATCAAATTTTAACATGTTATAGGATCAGAAAACAGTAGTAAGGAGTCAAACAATCCAGCTTATCACCACTCTTTTTGTTCTAAGTATTTAGAATTGTTGCTATCAAAAACAGTTTATTACTATGTAAAAAACTTATTATTTTTAATTTATCAATGTAATTTAGATTAATGTAATTCATTTTTCATATTTGTCTCATTTTCTAGGCAGATATGAAAAATGAAATATCGCTTTAATTAAACATTTCTCTTCTATTTTAATAGTAATATTACATCATAGTTTTGCTGTTTATTTGATCTCGGAAATAAATCGTCATATGACTGCATAATCATCTCTTTCATAAAGAACATATATCTGTGGTAAATGAAACATAATCTTAAATTCATATAGTCGCAGTTGTGCTTTTTATTATTATTATTTATTTATTTATTATTTTACTCGTGTATTCATACATATAAAGATAGGAGACCTTTCGTTGACTTTTTACGAGAAGGCTAAACAAATAAAGCTGTTAGTTACTGACTTCGGCCCGGGTTCGATTGTTTGTGAATAAGCTACTTATATACATGGGGTTTGGTTTCCATAGTTTTCTTCGTGTGTAAAGTCGTTTGATTGGTTTATTTAATTATGACAAAGCACGTGAAGGTTATCTGTCTAAGGGAAGAGATTCTTTCGTGTAGGACTTTCTAATGGAAACTGGCTCATATACAAGTTACACATGGGGGAAAACCACGAAAACGCCCGCGCAGCCAGCCCGTTCGCAGTCACTTTACCGCCCGACCGCTGGTGGGCTCGTGCATAAAGTAAAAAAGAATCGGTTTCTCTTAATCTTTTCTTCACTTTGACACCATTTCTCTACGCAGATATATCTCACATATTTTGCTGTAGGTGATTAAACAAAAACTTTTGTATTGATTCTCTAACCACTTTGTTGGCATTATAGTAGAACTAGTTTCCATAGCCCTGCACCCGCTGGTGGGCTCGTGCATAAAGTGAAAAAGAGTTAATTTCTCTTAAAATGTTCTTCACTTTGGCACCATTTCCTTATGCAGATATGCCCACCAGCGGCCGAGCGGTAAAGTCGCTGAACACTGGTAGTTCGGTCCGAGGTTCGAACCCCGCGAACGGGCTGGTTGCGTGGGCGTTTTCGTGGTTTTCCCCATGTGTAACGTGTATACGAGCGAGTTTCCCTAAGAAAATCCTCCACGAAGGCATCTCTCCCCTTAGGCAGATAGCCCTAGTGTGCTTTGCCATAATTAAATAAACCAAATCAAACCTTATGCAGGTATAACTCACATATTTTGCTGTAGTTCATTAAACAAAAAAAAATTGTACTGATTCTTTTACCACCTTGTTGGCATTATAATAAGAGAACTGGTTTCCATAGCCCTTCACTCGGGCTCGAATCCCTGAAAAAGTATGTCTGTTTGTATCTAGTGTCTTTGGGGCATGCATGAGCCTAAAATAATGTTGCGCCGGATGTCTTCTCAAAAATTAAGTAGTAAATGTAGATAAAGGGTAGAAAACCCTTGGACTATGCTCTGGAGGATTTTTCATAAAAATTGGGACGGAGTTGGGCAAACGGACTAGTAGTAACGTAGTAAACGCACTATTAGTATACCTCTTAGACGATATGCGTACTGTCACATACAGAAAAGCAGAAGGCAACAGCAGAGGCATCCCTTGCTTCTCGGCCATGATAAAATTTGTTTTATCTATAGAGTCATATCTAAAGCGTTGTAAACAACTATATTTGATTGCTGTCAAAGCAGTATATATTTGATTGCTGTCAAAGCAGTATATATTTGATTGCTGTCAAAGCATATATTTGATTGCTGTCAAGCAGTATATATTTGATTGCAGTCAAAGTCCAAAGCAGTATATATTTGATTGCTGTCAAAGCAGTATATATTTGATTGCTGTCAAAGCAGTATATATTTGATTGCTGTCAAAGCAGTATATATTTGATTGCTGTCAAAGCAGTATATATATTGATTGCTGTAAAGCATTGCTGTCAAAGCAGTATATATTTGATTGCTGTCAAAGCAGTATATATTTGATTGCTGTCAAAGCAGTATATATTTGATTGCTGTCAAAGCAGTATATATTTGATTGCTGTCAAAGCAGTATATATTTGATTGCTGTCAAAGCAGTATATATTTGATTGCTGTCAAAGCAGTATACTTTGAAGAACTTTAATGGAGCAGCCTTTGAGCTATGAATCAATCGTTTTTCTTATCAGTAATGCGAAACTTTTGAAATAAATAAAGAAATACAATAATTTCTTATGAATATTTTTATTACTGAAGCTGTCTTTTTCAGTGACTGTTACTAGAAACGCAGACATTGTTACGACATTGTCTTCATTTGATTTAACGTTGTAGAGGCCAGATAGTGGTAAACTTTGGTGAATGGTACTGCGTCTTGGCCCTTTACATATCATCATTATGACTGCAATATGTTCTCTGATAAAGGATTAGGCTTTAAGGAGACGCAAAGCGCAGAATGTATTTTATAAGGGTTTAGCCTCACGCGTTATGCTCATGCTCATATTCGCTTCCCACGTTTCTTCTACGTCCGATATTTTGAAGACGGAGCTAGGTATTGTAATTTTTCGATAAATGGTACCTAAATTCTAAAATGGATAAATTTTTGCGTACGATTTATTGAAGTAACAATGATATGTTTTAAAAAGAAAGTTTCTAAAACTTTTGACCAAAATGACAACTCGATTTAAATCGTAAGATTTTATGAAATTTGTAATTTTTAAACGGAATTTAAGTAACGTTCATTTGCTTTTATAGGAAAGGAATGCAGAAAGTGCCATCGAAGCCTTAAAAGAATATGAACCTGAAATGGGTAAAGTTGTTAGGCAAGACAAGGCCGGTGTACAAAAAATTAAAGCTCGAGAAATCGTGCCTGGAGATGTCGTCGAGATTTCAGGTAAAAAAAAAAAAAGAAAACAAGTCAACATTGGTACTAAATGCACTTTTGTATACATTTCGATTGTTTAGATACTTATTCAAGTAAATTTCATTTAATGTTTCAAATATTACATAATAAAAGACTCTGTTACTGTGAGATAGTCTAAAATCTATTTACAAATGTTTAGCTGGATTTACCCATTAATCATAACTTTTAACCCTCTGAGCGTTATGACCGGCTTTATCCGGTCATCAGAAGTTTGCTACTTGGCATATATTAGCTTATAATTTAACATATTTTGCTTTCTTACTTTCTTTAATAATGAAAGTATCATCTTAATGAATGTAAGTTTGTGAAAATATAGACTAAAATAAGTAATTAGGCAAACTCAATTAATAAATGCTCTTGAAATACCGGTCTTCATGACGGATCTAAAATCCTGTAACGCTCAGAGAGTTTTAATTGATAAGCTGTTTATTCTTGACTTAAGTTGAACTAATTCTTTCTAATCAATTCTATTATTCTTCTCCGTCTTTTGTAGTTGGGGATAAAGTTCCAGCCGATATTAGACTAATGAAAATTTATTCCACTACTTTGAGGGTTGATCAGTCTATTCTGACTGGTAAGTTTACTTTTCGGTCATATCTAAGCGATTTAAATTTTTGGAAAACTGTCATTAAAATTTTTTAATTCTTATACTAACCCCTATACAAATTTTGAAAAATATTTTTTTTTTTAAATTTGTCTATACTTTGCTGATTTGATCAGCATCAACAAAAGACATTAGTTTTAAATTGCATGAGATATAATACTGCATTTGTTTTGTTTTAAACACGCAAACGGGGAAAAACATAAAATTTCATTCAAAAAGTATTGTATAACGGCATTTAAGATATAAAATAATGAGACTGAAAAATTTGAATATAAATCGAAAGTAAAACTTAGCATGTTTGATATTTTCATCATAATATTTAAAACATTCCATTGTCATTGATGGTTCCAAAAATCCTGTTGCATGACTCAGAAAACAAATTTTTAGTTTAAAACTTTTGTGCAATTCGTCATTCTTTTATAATTCTTATTCGGAGTTGTTCTGTACCGTATCATCAACAATTTTTACGTTTTTTTTTCGATAAATGTAACTTTCGAATTTTCTATGATATGGAGATAAGTAATTGGAAGCACAGCTTATCCAGATTTTCGGAAATCTAGGAAAGAAGACTTTCTTCTCCCCCCTTGGCTGAATGGATACGAACCGGTGGAAACTGGTAGTTCGACATGAGTTTGCAATATATCGAACAAGCTGTTTGCATGGATGTTTTAGAGATTTTCTCCATGTAAAACGTAAATACGTTCCAGTTTTCCCATGAAGAGGAGCCTTCTTTTAGGCAGACAGCTTTCATACCTTGCCATAGACAAGCAAACAAATAAAAAAACTTTTTTTTGTCATGTAATATACATTCTACTTATCTTACTATTGAGAGATTTTTTCTTTATTTGTTATATTTCGTTTACGCGAAGATTGCGCTGCTAAAAATTTAAATGCATATTTTTCTTCTTCTGAAAAGCAGAGCACAAAACATGTAAATTTCTTAACAAAATTGCCGTAAGTTCGTGCCTAGCTTTACTATACTACTTGCTATCTTTTCATAATATTTAAATCCGCAATATGAAGCATAAAAAATCTGATGTGTACACCACATGTCTTCCTTGTACGGAATATTAAATTATACGCATTTTTTCTTGCATTTTATTTAAACTTATTAGATTGAATTAAACCTACTTCGCCGACAGCGCATAAACCACAATAGAATAAATGCATTCTTTAAAATTCACTTTGTTTACCATAGCGACACTCTGGCACTAGGTTTACTTAACAGTATTATACTCACACAAAATGCACAAAATTTACATCAAAGAATTATCTAATCGTTGCCACATGTTCTATTCAAATACTATATTATTAAGATATAAATTAATGAGCTAGAACGATGTATAAAAGAAATTAAGCAAACATTGTTTAATTTAATTTAATTAAAGCTTTTGTTTATTAAAGCTCTATGTTGTTTAAGCTCTTGTTTATTAAAGCTATGTTATTGTTAATTTTGTTTATTAAAGCTCTTGTTTTTAAATCGTTCTAGCTTTATTAAAGCTAGAACGATGTATAAAAGAAATTAAGCAAACAAACAAAAAAAAAAAAAAAAAAAAAAAAAAAAGAGTTTTTCACAGACGATTGAGTATTTCTCATTCAATTAATTCAGTTTTCACTTCGCGACAAGGCAAAAACGCATAAAAACTCAAAATATCTATATTAAAAATTACGAAGTAAATCTTAAACGCTTATTTCCTCGAAAAAATTCCAGAAAGGATTAAGCATGATTTAAATAATAAATGAAGGCGTTATCTTTGTTGTTGCGAAGCTAAGTTTCTCTAGATTGGCAACAAATCCGCTATCCTGCTGTTTCAAATGTAAACAAGAGCAATGGCCGCCATCAAAAACATTATTAGGCTTAGCGGCACTTAAACAATTTAAAAATTGTTGATAATTCTAAACGTATTGCATACAGATTTACTAAAGGCATAAAACCTTAACCGGAAGATAAGAACAACATAATTCAATCATTTTTAAAGCAACAAATGTACAATTTACAAACATATAAGAGTAAAGAAACTGAGATCACTGAGCCGGGTAACAGAGTGGATATATATATAAACATATTTATTTACGTTTGGTGCTGCCGATTGCAACCAAAATACGAGGTGCACATCTACATGTTATAGCAGTCCTATATACATAATTTCAACATTCTGAGGCTACTCGTTTTTGAGTTATGCGAGATACGCACGTACGTACATAACGTTCGTACAGACGCCACGAAAAATTCTCTTCAGAATTCATTATAAAGCAGTTTTATATTTTTTTTTGGAGGAAAAGAGTGTTTTATTCTGTCCTTATATACAGATATCACGGAAATACATCGTTAAATTGCATTTGAAAGAGGTCAAAATGGGATATTTTCGTTGAAATATGCTACCTGAAACTTTTCGCGATTACAATACTTCCTTTTTACTTCGTACAAGAAAGTAAAAACAATAAGTAATTTACATAGTTTGAATTATGGATACCTGGAATTCAGGTAACTGGAATTCTACTGAAGCCGTTCTTGCAGAAATTCGGTGTATGTTTCAACATTGACTCTGCTTAGCGAAAATACGTATGTTCCCATTACATCTATCGCTGCCGAGATCATCACATAGCAACTAGATGTTTGTCACACTAAAAATATCGTTCGTCTTTCTGAAAATAAGACTAAGAATAGTCGATGATTTTATATAAAAATATGAAAAGACGACCATTGTTAATTGCATTCAAAATCGATAAAGTTTTGTACATAATCTCTGAGAATTTTAATTTGATATTTTGCATATTTTATATACCTTCCGCATCACAGATCTCAGATTCTTCAGCTTTTATAAAGTACTCATTTTACGATATTATTTTCATAATGCATTCAGTTTTACGTTCATGCGAAGTAATGACTTAGTAACCGTATTTATGAAATTATTATTTATTTTTAAGATTTACAACTAATTAAATGTTCGTATTTTGCTGGAAAATGACAGCTTTTTCTTTCTAGGTGAATCCGTATCGGTCATCAAGCACACAGAAGCCATTCCAGATCCTAGGGCTGTAAACCAGGACAAGAAAAATATTCTTTTCTCAGTATGTATCAAGATTTCGGTAATTTTTACAGAACACCATTTTAAAATGTTTACTCATGAAACGATAGAATTTTATTTTTTTCTCATTATTTTTTAAGTAACTTTGATTTACAAAGTGTCCTCTAAGACTATACCGATAAACATTACTTTTCTTTGCTCTTTACCAATGCATCGAGAATCGTATCAGTGTTTGGATGGACTAAGAATATTAAAGCCAAGTATAAGTATGATTTTATTATCCGAAATGAGTTGAAACTTACGAGATGTTCTATATATTTACAGTTTAAGAAACCGCAATTTGCTCTCTGGTTAGATTGTAAAATATTAATGTCATTGTGATGACTTCGTGGTTTAATAAGGCACCATTTAGCTAGACGAAACAAACATTTATTAAATATATAATTCAAAGCATAATATAATAGTTACTCAGAGCAGTACGTCGCTCCTACCGCATAGTACAATCTACTACCTTCCTCTTTCGAGGCTAACATGCAACTCCTAATAAATACATTAACCCTTCTCGAAGAAGAGCTACCTGCGCCAAGCATGCTCTGTTGATCGCCAAACAGTCGCCAGATATCACACCCCCGTCGTAAGATTGTTGTTGATATTATTTACAAATCAATCAGCAATCTGGAAAACTAAAATCTAGCAACTGTTTGCGATCAACGTGAAAAAGAAAAAAAAACTACATATACTTTTATACATTCTATCCTAATTTTTCAAATCTCAATTACTATATAGACATACCTCAATTTACTACATAAACATAGATAACACATTTTTATATATAAAACATAGATAAATCATTTTTAACTTCACTTGTTCCGAACCTTATTATTATTGTAACAATTTATCAATTCTTAATTCAAAGAAACCAAGTTGATATTTTCTTTTATAAACATGTTAAAATATACCCTAGTATTATTCCAATGATGACAGTAAAATTATTAAGTTTTATATATATATAAAAATTATATTTCTTAACATTCCTTTTAATTAATGATGCTGCAGCATGATTTAAATCCTTGGGAGACAAATATCTAAATTTACCACTTACCTCGAATATTTGTTATCCAATAATTTCTCTATCTATTTCAAATTACATAAACATCTTATTTGCACAAAATTGTAAAATTGATTATGAAAAGCAAAGAAAACTATCTAATCATTAATTAACTATACAAATGTTCGTGAAGATGAACAGTAAATTAATGTTCAAAGTTCACAGGTGGGGAAGTCTGGATAATGCATCCGCGTTTGACAGTTTTTTTCCAGGGCAATGTTCTATTTCGAGATTATATTTCTGCAAAGCTATGGCCCATCGCTTGCGCCATATGATGCGTTGCAATTTGGACGATTGCGGAGCATTTCTCACTATAAAGGCTAGAGGAATTATGATCAGTCACAATTTTCACCGATGAACCGAATATCCAAGGTTCAAACTTCTTCAATGCCCATACTATAGCATAAGCTTCTCGCTCTATAGTCGGCCAGCTCTGTTGAGGTTTCGATAATTTCTTGCTCGCGTAGCAGATGGGAAATTGCTTCTCTCCCCTTTGCTGTGACAAACATGCACCTATTCCGATTTGGGATGCATCAGAATGAATGACAAACGGATCCTGCAGTGTTGGGGTGATCAGCTCCGTTGACATCGCTAATCGTTCCTTCAGTTGTTGAAATGTTGACTCATGAATTTCTTTCCATTCGAGTATTTTCCGGTTGTTTATTTTTCGTGAGTTCTGTGAGTGGGTAGGCGATTCTCTGCCATACCCTGGGATATAATCGCGATAATAATTACATAAGTCCTAACAGACTTTTAAGATCTCTTTTCGTTTTTTCGGCGTTTCCAGCTTCTTGATTGCCTCTATTTTCTCGGGATCTGGTTGATGTTTTCCTGATCCAAATGATGTGTCCTAAATATTTAATTTGAGGTTTTGCAAACGAACATTTCTTCGAATTGATAGTAAATCCAAGTGACTCTAGTTTGGTAAAAACTTTATCCAGATGTCGGAGATGAGTGTCGAAATCCGTGGAAAATATAGCTATGTCATCAATATAGGCTCTTGAAAATTGTTGAAATTCTTTCAGTGCGTTATTCATTACTCTCTGAAAAGTTGCTGCTGCGTTCCTTAATCCAAGGGTAGCACTTTAAACTGATATTGACCTCGATGAGTTTTTGAATGATGTGTACTCTTTACTTTGTTCCTCCATGGGAATTGCCCAATATCCTTTCAGCAAATCTAAAGTTGTTATGACGTTGGCTCTTCCTATACTGTACATTAAATCAATGGCATTTTGCATAGCAAAAGTCATCTGGCTTCGTCACTGCATTCAAATGCTCGATAATCTAAGACACAATCCTGATATCTCCATCTTTTTTTTGCTTACACAAACTACTGGATGAGCTATTTCTGGCATTACTTTCTTCTATTAGTCCCGATTTCAATAATACTTCTACTTCTTCATCGACCTTGGTTTTCAATGCTTCAGGAATCCTATAAATGTAAGGTTTCTTCCTCTCCATATTGGGTAGTAATCTAATTTTATGAGCTTCAACTTTAACAATCTAATTTTATGAGCTTCAATTTTCAGCTTTCCGGTGAATAGTGCTCGGTGTTTTGTTGATAAGAGCTATCAATTTTCTTCTCTGCTGCGGATTCAAATTTTTCTAAATTCAGATTTGCATCTATTTTAAAATCTTCCAGGGGGGGTCTAGAGATCTTTTCCTGGTAAAGTTTAAATTTCTCCAAATTCTTCTTCATTTTCAAATATCACTCCAACTGCATTGACACTAGCTTGGAATTTTCTAATTTTATTTGCATGAACATGTTTTTGATCTTTCCATCAGGTAGTTTTACTTTATAGGAATGAGGTGGGCAATGATTCACGATTTCTCCTGGACCAGTCCATCGTGCATAGAGTTTGTTATTTGAATCTGGTATGAGTAAATAAACTTGTTCTCCGATTTTGAAATTTTTTGGTATTGATCTCCGATTAAAGTACTCAGCATATTTTTGTTGTTTATTCACTTGCAATTAAATTGGCTTGTTCAGCTGCTTGTTCTAACTTTATTTTTAAAAGCTGTAAGTAATCCCACTGCCGATTCACTTAGCTTAGGTGGTATAGGTATTTCTCCTGACCATGAAGACTTCAGTACTGCTAAAGGACCTCTTGGTTGTCTTCCATACATCAGCTGAAATGGTGAGACACCCGTGGTGCAGTTTGGTACTTCTCTGTACGCAAAGAGCAGGTAGGGGATGTGCTTATCCCAATTCGAAGGATCAGTCCTGATGACATGATGTAACATTTGCTTGAAGGACTTGTTCCATCTTTCTACTAATCCATTTGAAGCACTGTAAGCAGGTGTAGAGAACCTAGGGTGAGAACCTAGTCTTTTCTGGAATTCTTTAGTTAATTTTGAAACGAAGTTACTTCCGTTGTCACTAGCTATTGTATTAGGGATTCCTTGTTATCATGAAAATCTCCAAAAGTGCGTCGCAAGTGGCTTTTTGCTGTCAAGCTTCTCAGTGGAATGGCTTCTGGCCATCGGGAATGTTGATCTACCAGACATAACACATATTTATGTTTTCCTAGCAGAGGAAGGTTCAATAGGTCCAATAATGTCGATGTTAACTGTTTCGAAAGGTAATCCTGGCCTTCTGACCTTGGTGTGATGGAATCTTGTCAGATCGCTTTTCTGGACTTTTCAACTGACAATCTTTGCACGTTTTACAAAAGGTTTCCAACATCTTGTGCTAATCCAGGCCAATAAAATGAATATCGTATTCGCTCCTTTGTTTTTCTTATCCCAAGATGTGCACCGAAAATGGAACTATGTGCTAATTCCAACACTTGTGCTCTTCTACTAAGTGGAAGTACTAACTGAAAAACATTCTGTCCTAATATTTTTTTCTTGGTGATGTAAAGATGATCAATAAATAAATAATTTCCTTTTTTTTCTATTGCTAGCTTCCATGCTTCTCTCAGCGAGGGACAGTTAACTTGCTCTTCGCGTAGGACGTTCAGCAGACGATAAGTCTGTGTTTTACATAAACACTCGCCTTCTTCCCTTCCTCCTCTTCGTTTTTCTCCTCCATAAGCATTAGCGGGGGGGAATCGACGCTGTCGTTTGACTGTGCATTGGCGAATAAAGTTTGTAAGTTTTCGCTTCCGTAATTATTTCTTTCTGCGTTTTGGTTCTTCTGCCGCAGGATTAATCAACAGTTCGTATATTTCTGGAGTTATTAGGCAAGGCACATTTAGCTTATCAGTCACTGCAATTAATGTATCCACAAAATTAAATATATTGCTTCCATGATCTTTATGGTAAATAGGTATACGGCAAACTTTTGCTTCAATTGGTTGTCCGAAAGCAGGTGTTAGCAATATTTTACCTCCTTCTCTCTCCTCTAAAATTTGGAATGAATTTGATGAGCGATGAGTATCGTTATTCGATCGTATCTGCGTTCCAGAGTCTACGATAGCTTCGATTTCTCAGAGTTAATAAAAATATCTACTTTTTTGCAGTGGGTTGAACGATGCGTTCTGCGAATTCAGATCGTAGATGGGATGAGTCTACTTTAGCTACGATGGCTTCTTCTTTTTGATGTTCTGTTTGAATTTTTTTTGAGTTTTGGGAATCATCCTTTCCCTTCTTATTTACTGCAGTTTCGTTCTTTCTTCTTTTGTCTGGGCAATCTCTCGCGATGTGTTGATAATTTCCACAAATATAACATTCTTTTCTTCTCGCGTGAAATCTTTCGTGTTTTGGATATTCTTTTCTCATGGGTGGTGGAATATATTTGTCGTGTGTACATGTTGTATCCAGGAATCTCGGTGATCGCTTAATTCCATTTCAAACTTCGTTGAAAGATTTTCCTTTGGCTGTGAAATAAATATCACATTCTGTAGCTAATTCTTGTGGCTTCAACCATTTAGTATTTCCTTGGCGTATTGCAACATTGCAGCTGTTTCCTCATCTAAAGCTTGGAATAATTTATCCAAAATAATTAACTCCTTGAGTGTTTCGAAATCCTTTACTCCTCTTGAGTTGCAGTAATAGTCCCATGTAGTCCCCCCCCCCCCCCCCCTGTTAGTCCCCCCCCGTCGTGAAGCGAACTGGATATGGGTTTCACTGCAATATCGTTTTAGTTCTTCTGAAGTTTTCTAAACAGGTTTGAGGAGCAGGTTGGTATTCCTTCAGAACAAGAGTCTTCACTTTTTTGTAATTTTTCAAATCTTCCTCTTTTATATAAACAAGAACCATTTGAAGCTTTTCTCCTATTAATTTCAATAATATTTCTGATTGTATTCTTCAGGAACCTTCTTGTGCTTAAATGCTCTTTCGATAGAATCGAAAAATATATTCCATTCTTCTGCTCTCTTCGGTACTGATATAGTCAGTGTTTCTACTCCTTTGATCAGCTTGTCCAGGGAAATTTCGGTTCTCGTTCTGTGTTTTGGATTAAAGGTGTTGGACTTCTACTTCCTTCATTTTTTGAGTTGCTCGAATCTTCGCTAGTTCTATTTCGTGTTCTCTTTCTGTTCTTATTCTTTCTTCTTCCATTTGCATTCTTTCCATTTCTTCTTTTTCTTTTTCTATTCTCCACTGTAGTAATCAGAATTTCTTTCACGAAATCAGCATCTTTGATGTATTCGTTGCTATTCTGGAGTTTGTGTTCAGTTCTACCAGCTTTCAAATCTGGGGGATGCTTCTTCGCCAATTTCCAATAGAACTGTTTACTAAATCCTCTTTCTTTGCGTTTTTGAACATTTTTTTTTCTTCTATTTTCCTTTAGAATCAAGCCTTTCAAACTCTCGATTAAATAATTCTCACGTTTTTTACTCTCTTTTGCAAATGAACACTTCTTTCGTTAGTTAGGCTTAACTTTACGCCTCTTCCGTTTTCAACGCTCTAAGCTTCTAACCTCTCTGGTTTTCTCATAAGAGAGCGTGTTGTGATGACTTCGTGGTTTAATAAGGCACCATTTAGCAAGACGAAACAAACATTTATTAAATATATAATTCAAAGCATAATATAATAGTTACTCAGGCAGTACGTCGCTCCTACCGCATAGTACAATCTACTACCTTCCTCTTCCGAGGCTAACATGCAACTCCTAATAAATACATTAACCCTTCTCGAAGAAGAGCTACCTGCGCCAAGCATGCTCTGTTGATCGCCAAACAGTCGCCAGATATCACAATCATGTATGTTCAGTTTTCTTTTTAAATTAGTTTCTATCACTGATTGCTGTATGTTAAGAAGGATTATGCTTGATGAACAGCATATTGTTTAATATTTTCCTGATTTAATTGTATGTTAAGAAGTATTTCAAAATCCTGCACGACAATTTTGAGTGTTTTCTTCCAGATACTAGGTAATGTACTTTTACCTATTTTTAATTCAATCTCATTTCACTTCTTTCTTTAATTTCTGTATTCTCTACTGCTTCATATTATTCTCTCAACTTATCTTTATAATTTTCAATTTGTTAGAACAGCGAAAATGTCATTTGACCAATATTCCTTTTTCATAAACTACTTGAAATCTTTTTAAAATAAATGATTTAGTTCATTTTACGTTTTGCTACTGTTAATCAAATCAAAGAATATTTGTATTTCCAATCTTTGTAAATGACAGATAAATATTTCAAAGCTTTCGAAATTTGTTTGTGGCTACAGAAGGCAGTTTGTTCAAAATTTCGTAATTCATTCAAACAAAATTCATTTTTAAAGTTAATTAGATTTTATATTAGGAAAACTGGTAGCATATACTGGTGAAGAAAATTTAAGTAACAGTGCTAAAAATGAGTATAAGGTTAGCGTAGGAGCAACAGTGTTTAAAACCAGTGGAATCTGACAAATGGCAAGCATAATGTCGATATAATTTTAAATATTACAAAAGGTTAGACCTTTTTTCTCAATAATATTCAGATTCCTGCAGTCATATTCTGATGTGCAGAAGGAAATATATAAACCCACGCACGATTTCTGAATAAACTGATACTACGAGTATTTGGTGAAGTTTGAGTGCAATTAGTGTAACTAACAGAAACTACATAACGCATATATAAAAATTACGTAGCAATATGCAACTAAATTTTCAGTTTTCCCGGAAGATTTTTGATAAACTGAATCAAAATCCTGATATATAATATGATACTAAAACGAATAGGAAATGTAATTCTTCCAGCTGTTTACTTCTGTTCTTCATTTTATAGGGTACAAATATCGCTGCAGGCAAAGCTCGTGGTATTGTTATTGGAACTGGCTTGGATACCGCTATCGGTGAGTATTATAATTGCAATTGATCATATTTGGCGGAAGGTAACTTTGAAATAAATATTTCAAAACTTTAAAATATCTTCATTTTAATAAGAACTTAATTTACACTTGACGACTGATTATATAATTCTGACATTTTAATTTCCAACATTTGCTAAGAATTCCAAACTTCTGAAGTTCATAGTTTGGAATTATTACACATGCTTATTCTGCAGTATTTCGAAAAATTTTAAGTTATAAAAACTCGTTCATTTTTGTTTGTGATAAGAGTTTTTATAGGGTATAGATAATCTAATACATTATATTATATTTTTAGTATTATGAAAACGCAGCTAAGAGAATAGTCATCATACGTCTAAGTACTAAGAAATCGTAAAATGTCATTCAGTATTCATAAAAGAAACCTTGTGATCAAAAGTGATATTAAGATTTGAAATTGTTTCATGTAAAAATGCTATTATCACTTGTTTTAATTTTAATTTAAGAGCTAATAGTTATATACTGACGTTATAGGACCAAATTATCAACAGTAGAAAGAACTCTTCGAAGATTACATCGTCTGATTCATACTACTGAAACAGTTTAAATGGCGCTAAAGAATTTTCACTTGATTTCATAATTTTTTCCCGTACCTTTTTTTTTAATTAACTGCTGGTGTTTGGTTTAGGTAAAATTCGTACCGAGATGACAGAGACCGAAGAAGTGAAAACACCTCTTCAACAGAAGCTGGACGAATTCGGTGAACAGCTCTCAAAAGTGATTTCCATCATCTGCGTTGCTGTCTGGGCCATCAACATCGGTCATTTCAACGATCCTGCTCATGGTGGATCATGGATCAAGGTAAAAATGTATTTTTTGCATATGCGTTGTACTTAAACGAAACCATCTCAGAATCATCTTGTTACTTAATGTGCATGATTTGTATATTACTAAATTTCAAACTACCCTTTGGATACAACAGAAACCATTAGGCCTGACACAATAAAAACTAGTTTCAGCAGTATTCAACATGCGTATGTTTGTACATGCAATATTTCAAATACTGTTGTATACTGTACCGACGATTTTGGATAGTTGTTTATTAGTAAGAACCTATTACCTAATCATACAGACGTGCGAATTAAACGTTAACTGTGCTATGGACTGCACTAAGGACAAGAAATCGGTTACTGTTTTTTCTTTATGAAAGTAATGTGGAGTTGGTGTATTGTTATGCTACCAAATTGCCATAATTTTTTAATTTTTTCTAATTCTCAAACTATGATTCTTTGCAAAATTTCATATCTTGCATCAGCGTATCTGTGTTAGCGTAGCTATTCCCATTAGTGGCGGAACGGATACTTTAGCACTTTTAATAGTATCAGGCCTAATAAAAAAGCTGTTGAATATCCAAGCATGTGTATTTCTGCTGTGTAATACAAATTACATTGGGTGAAATGACAAAAATTTAGCTATTGATTCATTTAAATACAAATAATCTTTGATTTTAACAAATACTTGAAGTATTTATCTGAAATGTGACTTTCTTTTCCAGAAACATACAGCTTGTAAATTGTTTAAATTTTAACAGGAAAGAATAAACTATCGCTAAATAATTTCGAATTTAATTTCATTCCTTCTTTAACTATGATTTATAAAAGTCTGGTGTGTTTCATTAGACACGTTCAACTTCTCTAAAGTTGTGTGTACAAATATTTTCAAGTTTATATAGTATATTATATTTAGAAAACGGGTTTAATGAGTTCCAAAAATTCAGCCATTGTCAAACTCGTTATATCCAGCAGCCATTAGTGACCACCAATTCGTAAAAGTTAGATCCCATATATTATCTTGCGCTAAACATTTTACCAATAGCAACGTATGTTATTGATCATGTATCCGTGTTATATTCGCGTTTCAAAATTAGAGAATTATGGATTTGCACAAAGTAAAACGGTTTGGTTATGTAAATTGTGAAAGTGTGTATTCAGTTTTTTTCATTATTTCACCGAATATAAATCATGGAGAAAATCTGCGTACTTTCTATGTTGTCATGTTTGTATCAAACTTAAACCGATTCAGATCTTCTCCAGATACTTAAACTAAACCTTGAAAAAAGGCCTAAATATATTTTCTTGAGGTAGTCTACGGAAAGTTTCAACAGCAGTTTTTAATATTACATTAAATTAATTACTGTGCTGAAAGTTGATTTATTAAATCTTAATATTCATGGCTTGTGTTCCGAATGTAGATTATTTTGATATTATGAACTTGCACTGTGTTACACTGTGAACTTATATCTACACTTCTCATTCTAGGGAGCTGTATATTATTTCAAGATTGCTGTAGCTTTGGCTGTTGCTGCCATTCCAGAAGGTCTGCCAGCTGTGATTACTACTTGCTTAGCCTTAGGCAAGTATAAAAATGAATATAAACCTCTGCACCATTTTAATAAGCTTTAATTTGTACTAAAATTTATAATGTATTATGCTAGAAGATTTAAACTGCAACACTTGACAAAATTCACTATGCTGCATTAATTAATATATTTTCTATCTTCCGAAACAGATATAACTTTTATGCAAATACTGAGAAGATCCATCAACAGCGATTTTTAGTGTTTTGTAAAATTAGTATGAGACGAAATAATATGTTAAAAGTAACTACTTGCGAAGACATTATAAATTAATAATTGTGAACTATACGTTAATGGAGTAATTTAATTTAACGTTACATTTTGCATTTAATTTAATTAAAAATGCATGAATTTCTCTTTAATTTTTGGTATCGACAATTAAACATTTTAAAGAATTCATACATGATGTACACTAGTTTTCTTAAAAACAGAAGACCTAGAAAGCATGCAGTTATAATTTTTATTTTAAAATATGTAACGTAAGCGATACAAAGTAAAGTGGTTAGCATTTCGGTCCCATCATTCTATAAAAACCTAAAGTACGAAGTGAGAGCTAAAAAATCTGTCTCTGTGTATGTTAGATTATATTCTTTTGTAAACATGTTTGGTTCTATAGGAATTTGAGTCAATGTTCAGCAGCAACTGAGAATATCTCTGCTTCGGATTAAAAAAAAAAACTTAATCACATAACTTATTTATTGCATGAGAGAACATAATGCGTCTTTCCTGATGTTGCCAGGCTTCTGATACTCGTGTTTCTTTGATCGAAAAAGTATGCAGAGATTAGTTCAAAGAAGGGAGTAGAATACTGTAAGAGAAGATGCTGACACACTGAAGAGAGAATCGGTGTCTCCTCGGGATGTCTTTGGCTGACTGTTTTGCGTCGTCGATATGTTGACGCAGCAATAACGAACGATATTTGATTCCCTAAAGTCATTTTTCACTGCTTATTATGCTGTGGATTATAGGCATAGCAAACGCTTTTCTGATTACTTTCTTGGAACGCCTCGTGAACTGAACACACTTCACTTATTCATGGAACGTCATGATGATGGTCGCATGCGTTTCTGCCACCGAGGTAATGCCGACCGTACATACCCAACCAACAAAGATCATTCTTGTATATAAGGCTAATGGATTTAACAACAGATCACCTATCGTAAGATTTCAGCCCTCCCATGGCGAGTGATCAGTATACCTCAAAGGCATTCTACTACGGTCTCTATTCCGTAATTGCTTCATCTTCCCAGGGTAGTGTTTCAGCGGTACAATGATATTCCTCATACTTCAGCAACAACACAAAAGTTCGTCAAAGTGGTATGTCTCATTTCTACCTTAGTCTATTAGATCATTTGGTTTATCCATCATCGAAAATGTCTAGCATATACTCAAACAAAGGATTACGTGTTACCTCAAATTTCTGCAAATCTTGATGAACTTTGGATGCGATTAATTCAGCTTGGATTGTTGCTGTATGTGAAAATATTAAAAGTAAATCTATATCACGACATATGAAGCAAGAAATACAAGCAATATGTAGACACACAAAATATTAATTACATCGACATATGTAAATCTTAATGTTTTGAATTATTTTCTCTATGTTATGTACTTTATATATCTTGAATTAGACAAGAAAACTACATTCGTTTCAGGTGTCCGGATTTTTAAGAACAGTAGTGGATTGTATTGTACTTTACCAGTGTATCTCTTAGTTTTTTAATTACAGTTCATATGTCAAATATATAGTCATGTAGAGATGTAACAGAATTGATAGTCACAACTTAAAGGGGTAATAGAATGTGGCAAATGCAACAAAGAACATTGTAACCGAATAAATATAAAGAACACGGAGAAAGGAAACTCGTTTTAATCATGGATATTTACGAGAAATAATTGATATTTACAAATAATGCTCAAATAAAAGATTATCAACTGCAATACATGCACCACAGTGGCGACGAAGTGATAGGCGTATAACTTTGGGAAGATACTCGGCATATCTCCTGCATCTTCAACAGAGATAGTAATTCTGCCAAGGCTTTCAGCAGAGTCAATTTGAGTCTTGTAAACGCGATCCATCGTAATTAGATTCATGTCGACTTTTCTTTTCCCATGTTCTTCGTAATTACGGAGTTCCCGTGATCACATTCCATACATTGTGTAACTAAAATTGTTACTTTTGCTATGTTCTGTCACGCCTTAAAGTTGTGATGATCAATTTTTCTTACACCTTGTTTACTTGGTTTCTTCAGCTTACCTATTGTGCTAAGTAGGTGGGGGGGGAGGTTGTGTTAAGATTTGAACAGTCTTGTTGTTGTCATTAAAAGAGCTGCTTCAAAATAGCTAAGCAATATTATTTTCCATTAAGCATTTAAATGAAATATAACTTATTTAGAGCTATATGGAATGGAGATGTCGTTTGACGATGTAGTTCAAAGATGTGGTTTGAGGCTATATGCCGTGCATTAGTTTCCTGTTGCTCTGTTTCCCCATTTAGTAGCTTAATATTTATGCATCCCCCTATCTTCTTTCAGAAATTTCGTTTCGTTGTAAATTTTTTGGGGTGGTTCAAATCTAATTATTTTTTATTTGTTTTGTTTAATTATAAAGTAATTTACTCATTAAACAAACTACACAAAAAACTCATTCAAAAAAATACAGGAGCCAATTTATTTTTGCTACATCAAATTTTTATTTTCTGCAATTTTTGAATTTTAATCTCTCGTGCTCGAGATCACAGAAGAAGCACTCATAATTAACAATGTGTGTGCAAAAATGCCATACACATTGACTTCGTGAATCTATTTAAAAATAAAACTCTTTAAATTCGCGCAAAATATAAATAAAATAATTAAAGAAAATTCGAAATTCAAAACTCGAGCAAACTTCGAGGTGCACACGTTCGTATGTGTGTTCGAAATTTAGTGGCTCTACTACCACAATAACTTCGCCTCACTCCCTTCCCAGTGCAGTGAAATCACATAACTCACCGATTCTTTCATTTTTTAATAACGGTGTATTAACTACGTTATTTGTAATTTTTTACATATCGAGACCTAACAATAGCAATATGTTAACGCGTAATCTAAACTTCTGATTAAAAAAAGTATTCAGCATTTCTTTTCAACTTTATGTTGCCTGGGAAATATTTAATCAAAAAATACGTTGCATGGTATCGTATAAAGTTCTGCTAGTTAACTAATTTATAAATTATTCATTTTATTATGAAATTAAAAGCATTTTAACGCATATTTTCAGATATTAATAAAAGTAGTACGCAAAAGAGAAAGTAAGTTACTATCTATAATGCTAGTAATCTAAATCGGTATTGTATAAATAAAATTGCGCACACCTCTACATATGTGAACTTCTTTGATATTTATTGCTAAACATATGTTTTTCTTGATGTTACTTTTGAGAAACGAAATGTTTTATGCAGAAGGTTCCTATGCATTTTATTATAGAACTTTTTTTAACTTTTTTATAGGTTTCCCTAAAATATGTACATTGTCAAAATTTGAACACTAATTTATAAAACATGCAAATAATTATTTTATTTGGGTTACAGGTACCAGGCGTATGGCCAAGAAGAATGCCATTGTGAGGTCTCTTCCCTCCGTAGAAACCTTAGGTTGCACTTCCGTCATTTGCTCCGACAAAACAGGAACTCTCACCACCAACCAGATGTCAGTCAGCAGAGTAAGTATCTCGATGATCTTTAAATGTTAATGACTCGACTGTAACAAAGAAACATTGAGAACAACAGTTCATTTCAAAAGGTCATTTCTATCACCGTCATATATGCTTGATTACTGATATCCCTATTGAAATATTTTTAGTTGAAAATTTTAGGAAGGATGAAGTCTATGATTATTATAGCATGATTATGATAGTCTATATTGTTATAGCACAAAATCCTGCCCAATTAAATATTTTATTTTTATGTTTGAGCTTTTGAATCTGCTATACAAATAACTTCCCGTGTCTGAAATTTTATATCAATATTGCATATCATAATATATTTTGAAGCGAAAACTTCAAAAAGAACTAAAAATGGTGGCATCAGGTATTACCAGCAGACTTTTTAAATAAATTTCTAGAAATTTCCTTTCGAACTTTGTCTTAATGAGAAAGCGTTCAAACTGGAATTTTTTTTCGAGCAAGGAACACTTTTGAAAAACATTTTTTTTCATAAAGTTATCTAGCAAATCATATACGAGTATTATCATATTAAATCTTGACCTAAATTTGAATCTAATTATTTCGGGTTTTCTTTCATTTTTGTGTATTAGCAAATATTAAAAAATAGATTTTTCAAGTGTAACATTTCTGTTAAAATTCAAATAATATGTTCAATAGCATGTTTCTTACATTTCAATAGTTTTTCATCGTTGAGAAAGCTGATGATCCCAAATTCTATGAATTTGAAGCTACTGGATCTACTTATGAACCTATCGGTGATGTGTAAGTACTGGAAATTTCAATTTTTACAGTAAAAAGGCATTATCTAAACTAAGGCAATATCTAATTATCTCTGTTTTATGTAGCTTTATCAACGGAGCTAAGGCAAAAACATCTGATTATGAAGCATTGTATGAATTGGCTACCATCTGTGCAATGTGCAACGATTCCAGTATTGACTTCAACGAAGTAAGGAAACAACATTACTTTGCTGTTCAGGAGAGATTTCTTACGATCCAAATGTTCTATAATATATGGAATTGTCATTTAGCAGTTGATATTTTATATTAAAAATGAAAGTAGATTTTATGTCTGATATTTAATGGCAACTCAAAACTGTGAATCATAGAATATCATAAATTCTCTTAAACGGCATTTTGAAATTTATGTCAAGTAGCTGAACTTAGCGTAGACTTAGCTAGACAGTTATATTGCAGTAAATTTACAATGAATTGGAAGAAAATAAAATGAATGATTCCTATATATAGATTAAGATTTCTGATTAAAATTAGATTTTAGATTTGATTCTTGCTGTACATTTAACCTAATCAAAATTATATGTGTAGTTTTTGACTTTATGGATGAATGATTGCATGGGTGTTTTGGCCACCTAACCGGTATAGTGGTTAGCGTCGCTGACTGCCTTGCCGAAGGGCCCGGGTTCGAATCCATGAGAAGGCATGGATGTTTATAAATATATAGTGTTAGTGAGGAATGGCGGCACTTTACACATGCGACGAGCCGAAAAGCCCTCTCGTGTGGTTTGGTGGAAGGGAAGAGGGTTGGGAGACCTTCGGACCCGTCCCCCTCCCGGGGTGCTCTCCATCAAAATTGGGGGCGGAACTGAGCCAAATCGCACTGTCACCTGAATGGTGCTCAAAACTATTGCCAGCGACAGGCGTATTCTAGCGCTCCTTGCCACGAGACATTTCGTGGGCTTGGGTTGACTACGTCAGACAAGTGAACACAAGCAACAACATGGGTGTTTTGACTGGTTAACTGCCTTATCCCTACATGTTTACATATTTTGTCCCTGAAAGAGTGGTCTATACTCGAATTACAAGGAAATTCGTAAAGAAGAAATATATTTATGTCTTCCTTTGTCACTTTGCAAAAACTGTGTTCAATTACCAGAAGGCTAGTCATAACAAAAAATAAGAAAATTTCCCCATTTCCTTCTTAAAGTTGAACTCGGATGCTTTCCATTCGGTTATGGAAAATATGTCAGGTAATGCATATTCAGTTTAACATCCCAAAATTAACATCGAAACATATGCTGCGGAACAGAAATATTTTCACTAACACCAATACTGGTGGAAATGCACCCTGATAATAATATACCTGATTTCTCTTAATGGTGACAAATTTACGTTAAACTCATTCTTAGGTAAGCTTTCTCTATCTCACCAATTTTATGCGATTTATTAAAATGATATTAACAAAATCATATTTTAATTGGCAAGTCTAACATTGAATTACTTCGAGGAAATGTAAATAAATTATAATCGTCTGTAACTAGTTGTCTTAAATAATGTTTGCTTGTTTTTTTTTTTTTTTTTTTTTTTTTTTTTTTTTTTTTTTTTTTTTTTTTTTTTTTCCCTAGTATCTTAAGAAATATTTCTGAAGATTTAATATTCAAGTATTCAAGAACAGTTTGGTAATTTATGTTCAATATCTGCTTTACAAAGTTCGCATCAACTATAGCTGAATTTACAACCGAGTCCTGAATAATTAATGTAGTTAACCTCTGGTAAACATAATTTAAACCTTGCCACTTGAGGTATAATTTTTTGCCTTTAGGGCATGTTTTGATTAACTTAAAAGCAAAATAAATTAGTACCATATTTCTCAGTACGTTGGGCCTGCCAGCGGCCGAATGCTAAGATCGTTGAACACTGGTAGTTCGGTCCGGTGTTAAAATCCCGGCGAACGCTCTGGCTGCATGGGCATTTTCGTGGCTGAACCAGTTTCCCTTGGAAAGTCCTCCTCGAAAGCATTTCTTCCTTAGACAGATAGCCGTCGAGTGCTTCGCCATGATTAAATGAAACCAAACCAACCCAATACGTTGGTTTTTGACTAGCAGACATGTGAATGTTTACATTTGAAGTTCATTTTTTCGGTAATTTTTATTGTATTTGTAAAACAGTTTTCGCTCGAAATCCATTTTCAGCAGAGCAAGCCTCAGCGCTTGAATTTAATAATCATTACACGGTAAACGGAACAAATAAAGGCTTGTTCTGTTTAATTATTTCCGTAAAATTTTATTTGCAGCTCTTAATTTCGTTCATGCTATCAAGATTAGTTCCCTGATCTTTCAGCTAACTTATCTAAGCCAATAATTCTTCTATAATTATATAGCTTACCTTTCTTCTAAGAACTCGTATTAAATTTTAAATATCTTTTGGCTTTTGGGATTTTAGGATTTTTTTATTATATATGATGGTAAAAAAAAAAGCAAGGAAAAATTATTTATTAAATGAATAATTTTTGAAACCAGACTGATTAAAATATTCTGTAATGAATGTCTGAGTTACAAAATTGTTTACCATGCTATTGGTAGCTTTAATTAATTTCCGCTGTTGACGCAGAGAGGGCAGTAATTGTGCTTACTAGTACCGTGAAGCGGACAGCGACCGAGACGTAGAAACATTAGGTTTTTCAAATCTGTGTGTTACTTTCGAGTGGAGTGAAAAGAACATGCCTATTTAATGCCTTGAACATGTTGGGTTTTGTACCTACAAAACAGTATCTGCGAGAAGTGTTACTCTTCTGCTCTCGCCCACCAGCGGCCGAGTCGTAAAGTCGCTGAACACTGGTAGTTCGACCTGGGATTGAATCCCAGTGAACGGTCTGGTATGGTTGGTTTTCGTGGTTTTTCCCAGGTGTAACGTGAATACAAGCCAGTTTCCCTTAAAATGTCCTCTTCGAAGGCATTCCTCCCTATAGATAGATAGCCCTCGAGTTTCTTTGCCTTAATCAACTAACGTAACCTCTCGTGCTTTCTCAATCTGCTGCAGGCCCACCAGCGGATGAGCGGCAAAGTCACTGAACACTGGTAGTTCGGTCCTAAGCTAGAATCCCGCAAACGGGTTGGCTGCATGAGCGTTTTCGTGTTGTTCCCATGTGTAACCATGTATACGAGCTGGTTTTCTTTAGAAAGTCCTCCACGAAGACATCCCTCCTCTTAGGCAAGCCCTAGTGTGCTTTGCCATAATGAAATAAACCGAACCAATTTGCTGTAGCAAGTAATCGTTTGCTACTGAAAGCTTGTGGAGAGCATGCTGTTTCGGAAACAATGTGCTGAGATTGGTTTCGACGATTCAAACACAACGATTTTTAGGTGAGTGAGAAAATACGTCCTAGTTAGCCAAAAAAATTTGACGATGGACAGTTAGAGGCATTTACTGGCAAAAGGTTCATCTCATATGCTTATACAATTGTCTGAAACACAAAATTTGGATGCATCAACTGTTAGTAAGCATTTAAAAACAAGGAGGAAGACTCAGAATTTGGGAAACTGCTTGCCACATAAATAGACTGAAAGAAACTTTCGAAACGCTTAACCATATGTGAAGTGTCATGCAAGGACAAAAATAGAAGCCATTTTTGCATGAAACCTTGGGCGCGTCGCGGCGAATCATCAACATCAACATCAAAACCGGATATTTATGACAAGAAGATTATGCTGAGCCATTTTATGGGATCTAGTCTGTATGGTGCACGAGCTGCTGCTACCGAGTCAAAAGTTGAATGCTGAAAGCTACGAGGCACTCAATTTAAATCGCGCGCACAATATGCTCAGACATTACATAGTGACAATGTTACATGACAATGTCAGACCAAGTGTTGAAAACCGAGTGAAGGAAACCTGGAAAAGACTTCCATGAGATGTCTTACCCCACCCGCTATAATATTTAGACATCGCCCTTTCCGATTACTGTTTGTTTCGGTTGATGCAGCACGGCCTTTCTGAATAACACTTCACATCTTTTAATGTTCTGGAAAATTGGTTCACCTGAAAAGAATCTGAATTTTTTTATGCCAGCATTAATTTTTTACCCGAAAAAGTTTTAACAGCCAAAGGACACTACTTCCAGTAAATTAGCTTGTACCATTCTGGTAAAACAAATATGTGTTTTCTGTTCAACAAACAGCGATAATTAATTCAAGTACCCAATAGTTATGAGTCTGTTATAACTCTGCGTATAAAGCAAATGTTTCAGAAAAATCTGTTCATATAGCAGCTTCCAACAGTCTTTAAATAAGCATCTTTTTTCTTATATTTTGAATGTCTAAGTCAACGTGAGTTAATTAACTTTTTTATTTCAGTATAAACAATGTTTTGAGAAAGTCGGTGAAGCTACTGAAACTGCTTTGACTGTCCTCGCTGAGAAACTGAACCCGTGGAATTTCGACAAAACTGGAAAGTCCCGCCGTGATGCTGCCCTCACAGTAAACCATGGCATCCAGAGCATGTGGAAGAAAGAATTTACTTTGGAATTCTCTCGTGATCGTAAATCCATGAGCAGTTATTGTACTCCAACTAAAGTATCTCGATTGGGTTCTGGACCAAAAATGTTCTGCAAGGTAATTAACTAGCAAACTCTTTTCAAATTATAAAAATTTAACTCACTTTTTTGCTTATAGGCAATTAATTGAAGCATTTCTTCACTAATATCTATTAAATCAAATGCAATAGTAATATCTACATTAAAGCGCTTTATATAATGTTTTGAATGCTCTATTGATTTTAATACATTGTAATTTTAATATGCTGTGAGAAATTGCATTCGGATACCGTATTTGGAATAGTGTGTTCTGTACATTTACGTGCACTTAATCCTCTTAAAAAATATGAATATCGTCATCAAGCCCTAATTTCAACTCACTATCTGCAAAAATAATTTAAATTAATCGCTATAATTTTTTTCTTTGCATCAAACATGCGGTATGCAGTTTTCTTAAAGAGCTGTGACACGTACGTATAAAAAGATCTCTCATAACTTGCAAAATTTAACTCTCATGCTTATCAGAGATAAATTCTATCATCATCGAAGCTGTATTTTTGGAGTGGAAGCATTAGCTGGATCTAGGTGTTTAAAATAAGAGAAAAATACTTTGAAGAATTCTATAAAATGTATGATACTGAACTAATAGAAGGAAATCCTTGGACCCATATAGTCAGTGCATTCATTCGTAATTTCTGTGATAGATGTTTACCCTTTAATTTAAAGCTAAGTTCTGCAGTGATTCATATTTTTCACTCACTTTGATTTGAGTTTTTGATTAAATTCACTGAGTCGTCTTTTCTGCAATATCTGCCAAAGTTTAATACAACTTTCTGCTAACTGATAAATATTTCATATCAAAATGAATGCTGTCGAATTAAATATTAAATTACCTGAATTATGAAACGGAAAAAAATGTCTCAGAAATTTTACATTAAATCAGCAAAAACATTTTTTTAATTTACTTTTATAAGGGTGTGAATTACAAAGAATTCGTCAATTGCACTCATGTAAGTTCAATTTTTCTTTGCATTTGCCTCATTTTGTAAAATATGCAACTTTTTATCATAAGAGTTTACGATAGCGTATGGAGATTAACCAGATTTTGCATTCAGTTCATAAAATTGTTTTAAGGCAACAAAAATAAATAAATAAAAGCTGTAAGAGCTAAAAAAATGTACAGCAAATAGTATATATTTGAATATTTAAAAATTACTCACAGATGTTCTGTAATTTTTATAACTTGATTTGTGATAATGAACTTTTATCTCCCACAGGGCGCTCCTGAAGGTGTGCTTGACAGGTGCACTCACGTCCGTGTAGGTAACACCAAAGTCCCCATGACATCTGCCATGATGAATAAAATCATCGAAACTACTAAGGTCTATGGTACCGGACGTGACACCCTCAGATGCTTGGCTCTTGCCACAATTGATAACCCACCTAAAATCGAAGAGATGGATTTGGCTGATTCCACGAAATTTGTTAACTATGAGGTGAGCTCTCACCCCCTCCCCATTTTAAATAGATATTTACCTCTTTCTTTTAAAAATAAAAATTTTCAAGAAACCTGATGATATCTGTCAAAGTGAGTTCCAAGTAGGTATACGTACGAGTATAAAATGCCAACTGTTTGGCCATCTTCTTTCATATATACACTGCTGGCCATTAAAATTTCAACATCGTGAAGGAAAGCAAGTACAAAGAATTTATTGTACGTAAACAGTATGGTATGAAGATAAAATAATTAAATTTGTCAGCAGTTTGAGGGTTTACAGGAGTGCGAAATTAGAAGAATACATGTATTCAAAATAGACAGCTTCATGAGTGAGGTTAATAAAGTATAGGTAAATTTAATTAGCTTTCCTAAAACGTATTCATAAAAAAAGCTTCACATTTATTTAAAGGGATTATTTTAATTTATTTAAAACACGCACATAAATTTGATTGCTATGAAGATCCTTATAGTTTGAGACGGAAATCTTAGCAGTAAAGTAGTGGTAAACTGCTTCTTGAATCGAAACTTAAATTTCGATTTTTAAGCATTTAGCCCTAAAATTTTAAATATAGCAAGAATGGCCAAACTTCATGTCAGTAAGAGCTGCATGGATGGAATTCAGAAAAGTTCAAAGCCAGCAGCTAGATTTTCCACAAGTTCATATTTAAATCATTTTAAAAGTAGTGAAACCAGTTTCGAATGGAAACATCTGATTCTAAATCATTCAGTGACAGTTTGCTTTCATCATGTGATGATGTGTCAAAGCAAACGCGAAGTTTTGTGTTTTTTACGGATTCTTGAAGTATTCTCAAGGTAACATCATCTTCTAAGCTGTGACTTATCAGATTTGGTAGAAATTCGCAAAGTTGGCATAATTTTCTCTTCTCCTCGAATTTCTTTTAATTGTATCAAATCCTGTATGATATTAGATGTTTCTGATGCATTGCATGCCTTTTCTGTTCAGCTTACAGACCAATTATGTTTTTAGATTCAAAAATTCGCTGACCCTTCCCGGATACATTCATAAAGCATCCACAAATATATCCTTAAAGATTTTCGGTACAAAATTGTTTGATAGGATCAGCATAATTTTTCTAACGTTTCTGAATAATATTAACTTTCTTAACTAACTGGAAGTAAAATGAATTAATTTCTTGTGGATACTGAATAGTTTTAGTTTACCATATTTCGTACATATACTTTATTTGCATAAGAAATGCATGCGGGTCGCATTATGGACACCCGTGGTATATAGTATTATGCATAGTTTTAGAAGTATAGTTGCAATCAGTTATAATTTTAATGCTAAATAAAATAATTTAATTTAATATTTTATTATATATTTTTATGTGGATTTAATATTTTTATATGAACTAATAAATACAGAAAAATATTAATTTATCCAAGACGTTTCTCAATTAATGTGAGCCATGTAGGGTAGGAGATGCTATAGGTACGATAAGCATTTTAATTGTTTGTGATTAAAGCAATAAATATTAATAAACAATTGTCCTCATTTTAGAGACTTTCGTCAATAAGAGGTATTTCTCATTACCAGTCTAAATATAACATGTTTAAAAATTAGTTATAACTGAAATTGTGAAAGAGATCTCGGTTAAAAAACAGTTCATTAGGAGACACTGCAGAAAATTAGAGGAAATATCAAAATGTTAGTCTTATAGAAAAAACCTCTGCTTACAAACACCAAAAATATTATTTCATATTTTCTTTGAATTTGAAGATGATTTGTAAAATATGAATAATTTTTAATTTATTCATTCTATTCTTTAGGTCAATATGACTTTTGTTGGAGTCGTTGGTATGTTGGATCCACCAAGGAAAGAGGTTATGGATTCAATTAAACGTTGCCGAGCCGCTGGTATTCGTGTTATTGTGATTACTGGTGACAATAAGGTATAAACCGTTAAGGGTTTTGTAACAAACAAGTTTATTAGTTATACCAAATATTCATATTAGTGATTATAAAACTATACTATATTTGATTTAACTAATTTTAAATAATTTTCTCCCTTAAAATCGTCGCACACCTGTTATTATATTGTATAAAGAAAATAACAACTTCCATTGTTTAAATAAATAGCTTCTGATGTTCAGTTGTAAAAAGAAAATTAAACATTAAAGTTCACATAGTTTTTATTAAAAAAAAAAAAAAAAAAAAAAGGTTTTATAAAAGAAAATGCACTGACATTTCTAACAATAGTTAATGCCCATGCAAATGTTCTAAATTCCAGACATACTTTAACCATTGAACCTGTCTTTTCTGCAGGCTACTGCTGAGGCTATCTGTCGCAGAATTGGAGTCTTTGAGGAGGATGAGGATACTACAGGTACATAATTTTAAACTTTAATCATAGCATCCTACCACGATTTTCCTGCATGTAATCGTTGCTTGCCACAGTATAGCCTTGTTTAAACCACAATGTAACATTATTTTTTAATTTAAATTAAATTTTAATGATAAATAGTTAACTTGCATTATTTACAAAATAATGTTGTGTTATCACTAACGTGTAACGTGCACTTTTCATTAATTTATTTAGTGGCTGAGAATTTTTAACAAATGCTGTTAATAAATTTTTTGCGGGACTTCAGTTAAAAGTTCTGCAAAAAATAAATCCGCAATAAATACCCCGTTTCTGTCTATTAGGCAAATCATACTCTGGACGGGAATTTGATGACCTTCCTGTCAGTGAACAAAGATTAGCAGTGCGAAGGGCCAGATTATTCTCTCGAGTAGAACCATCTCATAAAAGCAAAATTGTTGAGTTCTTACAGGCTGATGGCGAGATTTCTGCCATGGTAAGAAAAGATTTTGTTTAATAGTGTTAATAATTATGCTCGTTAATGAACCGATTTGTAAATCATATATTCATTTACTAGACTGGTGACGGTGTAAATGACGCTCCTGCTTTGAAGAAAGCTGAAATTGGTATTGCTATGGGATCTGGAACAGCAGTCGCTAAATCTGCTTCCGAAATGGTGTTAGCTGATGATAACTTCTCCACAATCGTAGCTGCTGTAGAAGAAGGTCGCGCTATCTACAATAACATGAAACAATTTATCCGATACCTGATCTCATCCAATGTTGGTGAAGTCGTAAGCATTTTCCTTACTGCTGCTCTTGGTCTCCCAGAGGCTCTCATTCCTGTACAGCTGTTATGGGTCAACTTGGTAACTGATGGTCTTCCAGCTACAGCCTTGGGTTTCAATCCACCTGATTTGGACATCATGAACAGACCACCAAGGAAGGCTGATGAAGGTCTTATCACCGGATGGCTGTTCTTCAGATACATGGCCATTGGAGGTAATTCATAATTTTTAAATCTCTAGAATAATCATCATCAAGAATGCTTATGGCTATATTTTAACAATTTGCTTTCCTTAAGATCTCACAAAAGTTTTAACATTCTTTTTCCAGGTTACGTCGGAGCTGCCACTGTCGGTGCAGCAACATGGTGGTTTATGGTTGCCCCTGATGGTCCCCATCTCACATATTGGCAGTTAACTCATCACTTAACTTGCTTTACCGAACCAGAAAAATTCTCTGGACACGATTGCTCAGTCTTCAAAGATCCTCATCCCATGACCATGGCTTTATCTGTACTGGTAACCAATTGAGATGTTAAACGCCATGAACAGGTACATTATTAAAATCCAGACTACCTCTTCCTGCAAAGTAAAGTATATAATTTTAAGATGCAATTTATTACGAGAAAAAAGCTTACATTTTATAGACATTTCTGCAGATAGAAAGTAAAAAATTTTGTAATTGTAATGATATGCTAAATGCTTTGCCTTCTAATTAAATAGTACTAGACTGTAATATCAGTTCAAAGAGAGTTTGAATAACTAGTATACTATAATCTTTTGTTTTGGTCCCATTCTAATTATTTCTTATATTCACAAAGTAATTTTACAGTAACAAGTACCAAAATAGACATGTAAATATTTGTATTTAACTTCTCCTGTCTTTCTTCACGGATACACAAATGCAGGTATTATAGCAAAGTTTTTATCTAGCATACTTGTTGTCAGATGTGATTAGCCCTATTTTGCATAGCAGGAGATATCGCCATATTCATTCCAGAATGTACTGTTGTTTTTTTTAATTTAATTATTTGTATACATTTAATTTCATTTATCTAATCTATATTGGAAACTGTTGATTGCTTCTGTTAAAAATAAATTATTTAGGATTCTTAGGTAATTACTAATAGACGCATACTTTCCTAACTACATGTAAACGCTGTATAGATATCAAAAACCGAAATATAAAGTACCGTATATTCTAGCTTGTAACGTGCACTTTTATTACAAAATATAAGATCAACATTTACGGCTGCGTCTTATACGTCGGATATAAAAATGATAGATTTAAAAATACGGAAAAAATGAGCACACAAAATTTATTCTTCAGGCACCTAAATGCTGCATGTTTAAAAGAAATGACATTCCTTATGAACTTAAAATATTTCCTATTCTGATAACATGAAAATTTCGTTATATTCATCTTCTGTTGTATCTTCAGGCACGTCATCGAATTCTGTTCATCACTATTATTCTGATCCATAAATAAATAGTGATCTTCCACCCCATCTAGATTATTAGATATACTACATTTTAATGATTTTTTAATTATATCGGATTTAATTTCATTCCATGCTTTTATTATCCACTCACACACTACTTCTAGATTGGCATGACGCATTTGGTCTCTTTTTCTTTCCTTGCCTTTGATTGATGTTCACTTCAAAATCACGATTTCAAATGACTACAGAAAAAGAAAGCAACTAATTGATAATTCCTCGAATTAATTGCTAAAATGGGTTCTATTCCGTTTCGAGGACCGTAAAAAAATTGCAGCGAAAATGTATGTGCAAAAGCGCCAAATCTAGCAAACGCGCCCATTTAACAGCGCGCCAAATCTAGCGCACGCGCTGATTTCAAATTGCGCAAGTTTAGATAGTTCTATATTTCTTAAGATGCCATTGAAATACTAGTTTAATTTTTTAATCCTTTTTTGATTTTAAACCCTTTTTTGATACCCTGTGGATTTAACAATTTGGAAATTGCCCAAGACGAAAAGTCTACAATAGAATTTTTTTAACGAAAAGGCATCATTCATTATAGAAAATTATGTTTGACAACCAACGAGATGAAATTATGCTTTAGCGATAACTCGGTAGCGAAATAACGATGCAGGAATGCAAAACATTTATGTTTAGCATTTTTATATAAATTATAATAATAAAAAAGTGTTATATGAAATTAATCTTTCATCTAAATTAAAACCTTTCATCTAAATTAAAATCTTTCATCTAAATTTCATCTAAATCTTAGATATTTACTATTATCCTTCCTTTCTTGCGTTAGGCTTGCCGCAATTATTTTGGCAGCACTGGCATCAACAATAGTTTGGCGATTTTTTATGATCCTCAAAACGGAATAGTACCCTAAAATGCATTCTTACATCAAATATTGTCGCCCTTTTCTTGAAACACTAGAATAACATTCTTTTGAACGCATGCAATGAATACAACGCACCCTCTTTGCAGAATTATTTATCTCTCAAGCATTTCCCTTCTTACATATTGTTCCCCCTTATCGCTTCGTCAATTCAATATACCATTGTTCAAAAGCCTAGGGAAATCTTCGAATGAATGACTTCGAAAGACAAGAGCACTACACATCTATCTTCTAGGTTTCTTCGTAAAGAAAAGAGTGCGCATTATATGGCGAATGTACCTAAAAACTGAAAAATATAGTTTGAAAATATGGGGCGCGTTATACACCTCTGCGGCGCTATACTACGGAATTGAATTATGAATAAAAAGTCTTAAAATTTTGAAGAAGTCTTATATTTTCCCGTATTTACTCTAAATAAGACATTATAGACGAATTTAGGATCAGTTTTTCTCTGTAATAGTACTTTTAAATATTTCAAAAACTTAAAATAAAACTATCGCAATTTCTTTCACAATCACTAGGTTTCCATACACGTTTTAAATCTTTGTATGTGTCATTTTTCAGTTTATCTGAGAATCAGTCATTAACTGTCATGCCACCATGGATTAACCCCTGGTTGTTGGCTGCAATGCTTCTGTCCATGACGCTTCACTTTGTCATTTTGTACATTGACATCTTGTCCGTAAGTATAGAGTATTGATTGTTTGTATTTTTCAAAAACTTATTCATTCAGTTAAGAATTAATCTTACACATTTAGTGAAAAAAGTACTCATTCTATATCTTTTTAATAATGGGTATTAAAACTGCACTGTATTTGTGAATCTGTAGTACAAATAAAAGCATGAAGCTAATTTTAGGAATTATTTTTTATGCTTATGAATATGTATGGATAAAAATTTACTAATTTATTGGACAAATAATTGCTTTCGATTTCGAATTGTGAAACTTTCAGTGCATTTTTTCCCCTTTTCATACTTTCTTCAGTAAACTTTAATACTAAATCCAATTGCAATAAGCATGCAAATTCAATAAACTATGCCAGATTAAACTATCTTGAATAAAAAGCACTTGTTCTGAAAATTAGTTTCTAGGTGTGAAATCATGAATATGAAATTTGAAGTAAACTTAGGTGAAGATTTAAATTTTCTCTAGAATTTCGAATAATTCTGTGGATCTTTTAGTCGTATAAATATGATTTATAGATTCTTATTTTAGAAGCTTGATTTTCTTGATAAAAAAAATCAAAATTATTTTACAAAACTATGTGTTCAACTTAGTTTCACTAAAATACTTTTTAAGAGCATAGTCATTCAGTTCCTTCATTTTCAAGTTCCTTTTTTAGTCACCAGAGCTTGAAATTCAAAACTTTAACTACTTTCTGGCATTTTTATGATTATTTTTCAAAAAGTTGAATTTAAATTTGTTTCTCATTAATTTTGCATTAATAGAAAACAGCGGTAACATAATTGATAAAAATTTAATTTCGGAAACGATAACTGATTCGTGTCATTTCATTACCACTAGTATCGCTTTTGAAGCTTGTCCTAATATTTTGTATTTTGCATTAAAGTTTTTCGTTCCATGGGATGTAAAATTTAAAGGTTTGCATTTTATTTCGCTATTGAACTTATTTACATATTACTCTAATAACTCTATTTTTAAGTGCAATTGCGATACATATTCTTTCAGTTATCTCAAATGGAACATTAGATTGCTTCAAAAATTAAGTAAATTTGTAAAGAATTTGATTTAACTTAGTCTTTGTAAATTGCAATACTTATTCTTTCAGTCATTTGAAATTAATATTATTAAATTACTTTAAAAATTAAGTTAATTTGTAAAGAGTTTGATTTAACTTAGTCTTTGTAAATTGCAATACTTATTCTTTCAGTCATTTGAAATTAATATTATTAAATTACTTTAAAAATTAAGTTAATTTGTAAAGAATTTGATTTAACGTAGCCATTGTAAAAATGAAATGCGTAATTTATTTTAATACTTTTTCCAGTCTGTCTTCTCTGTCACTCCACTGAACGCTGAAGAATGGTTTGCTGTGATGAAGATGTCTATACCTGTAGTGCTACTGGATGAAGTATTGAAATTCGTCGCCAGGAAATACATAGATGGTAGTGACTCTAGCTCCGCCCAACCAGTCATTATTGCCTGGGCTATTTATTTTGCATACATGTGGTATTGCGGCATCTAAAAGGATGTGCACGAGAAAACGTTGAAATATTTTGCCTGTTGTGAATGCGGAGGGTTCCGATGTACACAAATCCTTTACTTACCTGAAATTCTGCTGCTCACAAAGATGAAAATGACTGCCAGTGGTTTTGTACCCTTCATTAAAACCCGAAAGTTACTGAATGCATTTCGTTTTCCCTAACTCTCAATGATGGGCCACTTAACCAGTTTATATTTGAAAGCACTTAATTCCAATGCGAAGTATCCGAATTGGCAGCTAATTCTGAATCATAAAATTATCTCATGTTAAAATTCAGAAAATCTGGTTCCGCATATTATCTTAAAAGTGAAAAAAAAAAAAAAGAGAATTCACAAGGAATAGCTCGAAGCTATACATGTGAGGCTTAATGAATCTTTCAGTTGCTTAAAATGATGGATAGAAATATCTTTTTTTTTTTAAATAGAATGAAATTTTTGCTATAGTACTCTATATTTTTTAAACATCCATGATTTTCATTCTACACTTTCTAAAGATATTTCTTCAGATATCTAAATATCTCAAATTTTAAAGAGGTTTTCTATTACCTTGGGAAACGTTAATGAAATTTGGAGAGCATTATCGAACACTTTATTTGTATGCCTCTATTCAGCTGATATAAACGCGTTAAGACATCTGCAGTAAATGTTCGATCTAATTCAAAAACTCCAGTTGGTAGGAATTAGAATACTTCCAATATTATAATATCCAGATTTTCATTTAATGCTTGGATTAAGTGGTCTCCAGCGTTCAACTAAGTTCTCCTTTTTTCCTCCTTATTTTCAAATCATCCACTACACCAACAACATGACTTCCTTCTTTTGAATGAATTGCAGTTCTTTGTTTTTTTTTTTTTTTATCAAAACGTTTGATTTTTGTTTACATTTTCAAAATTCATTGCTCTACCTGTAAAAGTTTAATCTCAATTTTTTTAGTAAAACTTAAGTTCACACGGCAGAGAGAATTTTATTAAAAACGTAAAAGTGCATGTCATTATTTCAGATTTAATATTCTGAAAAGGGAAAAAGTTTTTCTCATTCCGTGTCGTCTCTGTAAAAGAGAATGCGGAGAATGAGTTTTGCATTCTTATAATATAAATTATTGCATTGTCGTAATTTAAAAATTCCTGTTCAAAGTATAACTTTTTACTGAATGTTTACTTATAAAAAATAATCCATACTTTTTAACTTGCATGTGTTATTGAATAACTGCATGTGTTTTGATTTTTTTTATTCGCAGAGTGCTGATCGTTCCCTCGACAAGTACGCATGTGAAAATTTTAAGGTACAATATATTGTTACTATGATACTTATAACATAAAACCATAATTTTTTTTTTGTATATTGTGCTTTGTTAGTGTAGTATCTTGTTTAATACTTAGCTTCTGATGCGGGTAGTATTTATGATGTGTAAGATGCAGTAAAACTTCTTAACATATATTTTCGAGACATTCTTTTTCTTTGCTTTAATAAATTATACTAAAAATCAATTTAACAAAAATTTGCTTTTGCTACAGAAAAATGTTAAGAAGAGTTGCTGCCAGCTCACTAATGCTATTAGTTTTTAAAATTTATTATTTTATTTAGTTGTGCCCAAATGTGTTATTAGATAGCCTTTTGTTTATTTCTGTTCTGTCCTTTCTCAGTAATCATTTGAGCTCTCTGAACCCTTGTGTAGTTCCTTAATTGTCAGATTACATAACTAACATTTTTATGTCTTAGTGTAGGAAATCTAAACAATAACAGAGTAAAAATTAGTTTATTTAACGGAACGATTTTTCTACGCCATGTGCTATTTAAATGCAGAGATTTCGCTGTAACGTTACATACGCTGCTATATCCTTCGTTGCACTATATGTGCTTTTGCATTTAACTATATATGCTTCAGGCGCCAAAGCATGGCAGTCGACCATATGATGATAATCACCACAAAAGTGTATACAAAACTTATTGAATGCCGAATATATCAACGTAAAAATTTCATTTCAAGTTTATATTTTAAATGTTTAATATTAAATTTAAACTCACTTCTGTGATAATGAAATTCCTATTATGAAAAATAATCAAAAATTAGAATAATTTTACTATCAAAATGTGAAATAGATTTAAAGACGCATTTTCGAATTACTGGATATAAAATTCCAATATCCAGTATGCGTTTATTCCCTAAAAAATCATTCTTACTTTTCATTCTCTTTTTAACGTTTATATACACTGGCCTCTTTTCTCCTTCTCCTTACCGTCTCTGTTATATTCAACCTCTGTTAACCATCCGAATTTCTGATATTTCCATCTAACGAAGACAAATAAGCCATTGGGCACAACAGAGAAATTGCTTTTATTTCTTTTTCTGATTTGGGATTTTTGTTTTCGCTTTTGTTTACAGTGGGTTTCGTAGAGGAGAAGAAGAAGAAATAAACTCTGCCAGTACAATTCATTTTCTAGTTTCCACATCTGATGTCCCTGTCTGAAAACATGTATATGAAAGAAAATATTTAAAAAAAAGTATGTGTTGTGTTGTGCCTTCCTCGACAAGCCTCAACTACAGAGGTCTGAAACAGTGAATTGAGTCAACATTTTTTTTCTTTTAATTCTTATTTTAAAATTTACGAAAGAAACAGTGCCGTGTTACTCCGTGCCGCTGTGAAAGTGGTTTCCTTGTTGCCTTGCATAAATTTTTGGAATCGTAGCTTGGAGACTGCCGATGCCGTCCTACATGCCGAACTCTGGAGCCTTGTCGTCCAGGAACTTTTTTGGATTGTGATACCAGAACCGGCAGAGAACGAGCCTCGTCAGAATCCAGTGAGCCATCCAATACTCTGCATGAATGTCAGACAATTTGTAAAAAGAAAATACTTTCTCTCTGAGTATTATCTGGTCATACACACAAAAAGTAAAAGAGAGGTGCCTGATTCTCTCAAATTTGAGTGTTTGTTTTTTTCCTAGAGCTAGTTTCAGGATTGCGTATTTTTTTTAAATCAATGTACAGTGATGTTTAAAGAATGTTTTTAGTCATAATTTAACTTCTTGGCATTTAGAGCCCATTTTAGTTTCTGTGTAAAACAAATCTGTAAAATAATCAAAAACATGTTTAATTTTTGTGGAATGTGAGTGTGACGTCTCGACTCCGGTTAGACATCAAGTCTCAGAAATCAACAAAGCCGAGGGAAAAAATCATTTTTCATCGCTACTGCTTTTTTTTATTTGCTCATCAGTGATGAATTGAAGGGCAGTGGAAATTTTATCTATATTTTTGTGTTAAGATTTTAATTTTAATGAAATCCCATAAGCTCACTGAAATATATAATTTAGAACTTTTACAGTATTATCCTTGAATTCTCTAAGGCACAGGAAAGAGTGCTTCACCAAATATCGATGACAACGAACTGCTCAATACATAGTAAATTTTACTATAATCCTTTTTAAACGTCCGATAAATTATATACATACACCTTTTCTGGGAAGGGGGGTTTCTTAAGACTAAAATCTTTAAAGTTATATATGTGAGGAAGAAAAAACTGTTTATGTAACTGTTCCTCCCCATTGATGAACTGGAGCTCTGAAGGCATCTGTCTGATGATCGGACTGGACATACAAGCATCTAAGACGAGTCATGTGGCGCGGAAGGCTACGATCATCTGAAAGAGCCTGAACTGCACATGTTCATCATCTATAAACTTGCACAAAGTCCTCTTCCTATGTGGCTATTGTTAAAGCCCGTGATCAAATTTTGTACATTAATCCCTGTACAGTAGAAAACACGTTAAAATAAATTATACATATAACTCCATTTGTGTTGTGTTTTTAATTTCTGGAATTTTTAAATAAACATACTCTAATTTCTGTTGAGTACAGACTATAAATTAATGATTTTCTGAATTTGACACAATATAATTTTAACACGTTCGCTACCGACGTGTCATACTGTCTCCCACAGACCGATAGTATATTTCCATAGTAATATCCAAAACTAATTCTAGCAGGAGAATTCAAGGTTGTTTTAATCAAAAATTATTTTAAGACTGTATAATGATTTTAATAACATTTAAACCAGTCAAAACTAGAAACCGTGTGTTACAAGTGAGTCGTAACTTCTTACTCGTACCACTATTTGGTACGAGTGCATCTACTATGGGCTTAAACGAGAAATTATAAAGGAACTACCACGTCCCACATATAGGTCGTTGATCTGTTTTAGGACATCATACGGCTCATACATGAGCCGGTCGATAGCGAATGTGTTAAAGTTACTGTTAGCAGCAGTAGGTTGGAAACTGTAACCCTTTGTTTACCATGTGTAATTTTTCATTACGATATTACTGTTTTTACATAGAAACATCTTTAAAAAATATTATTTTTAACGAAATCATTGAGTCGTTTTCGTTTTACAATTTTACAGGATCGTGTGGAGGTAGTAATTTTGATGTTGGTGTTACCAAATCTAGCAGCAAAAGTTTGCAGCTGACCGCTTATTGCTACAAATTTATGAAAATATTAATTTAAATATACTTTGTGAAAGGCTTCTGGTATAGTTATAAACATTCGTTACCTGAAACAATACCTCCAAAGTCAAACTTTAAAAATACCCTTAAAACTCCATAAATATTGTTAATACTCCATTTGTCAAAGTGTAAATAAACTAAAACATGTTTTAGGAAGTATACAAGTACTGGAAACTCGTTTTTTTCTTTCATTTTAGTATATTCCCCGACGCAGGACGCTCCGGCGTTTGCGAGTTGATTTAAATAGTTAAGTGTGCTTGGACTATACTAGTTTTGCCTACGGCGCTATGTGGGTGCTCTACACATTTTTTCCTGCCCTGACCTGTTGCCTGAAACAACAATTTAGAAATCTCATCTCTATCACTATACTGATATACTGCACGAGAGAACGTTTTCGAAACGATATATTTAAAATATATTTAAATGGTTTATTAACATATTCACTAGTAATCTGTATTTCTTAGTTGACTTTTCAGCCAAGCTGTGAAGGAGATTCTGAGAACACTCATTCTATACTCTGCATTCTATGTATGTTCTCTAGATAGTAAGTATGAATAATTCTAAAACTTTAGAATAATAAAATTAACGTTTAACACAAGTAATGCCATAATGTACGCTAGAGGTAAGTGACCAGAAGAGTCATAACCAATACAGTCAAAAGTCGTTAATCCGGACTCGTCGGGACTTCGGAGATTCCGGATTATCGATTTTTCCGGATTATAGATCATTAGTTTAAATCTCGTAAGATGGCATGCAGAAATTCTAAAATTAAAAACATGAAACCGTAAGTTATGAAATAAAGAACAATTATGATCTAAAGGGTATCAAAATTTACAAAAAAAAAAGCTTAATATTTATTTGTTTACTTTATTAAACATTTCTTTCAATGTAAGTTATTTAAGTCGCTTCGTTTTATGTGATAATACTTTCTCTTTAATTCTATAAACAGACATAATTTCTTGTTCAGTTAAAAAGTTCCGCTGTTCAAGTCCCGCAATTGCTGTGCCGAGAATACCGACTGACTTGTCAATCGAAATTTTTTTGTTTTCACTAACCTCTCTGTCACCTTCTTCATGTCTTTATCCATTTTTTGCAGCAATTCCACTTTTTGTTTGATGGACATCGAAACATACTTTCGTTTTGTAGATTCTTTGGGAGCTCCAGCATCGGAAATTCTATTTGACATAATCGAAAGTTCAAGTTTACTTTTATAACATTGTTCTTACAGTCTGCAAAAAATAATAAGCCGCATCCAATTCGAAGATTACGGAACAACGCAATCATCAACATTAACTGAAATAGATAATTTTAGCTTATACCGTCCGTTATACATTAAACGCGCACGCGAAAATGTATTCTGCACTTGCGCACACGCATCTGCGCAGTCGTAAAAGTCTTACGCGCACGCGTAAACGCCTATGCGCATGTGTCAAAGCGGCGCATGCGCAGAAAGCTTTAAGCTTTGAGGTCCGGATTATAGATCATTCCGGATTATGGGTGTCTGAATTAACGACTTTTGACTGTAGTATTAGAGCGATAAGAATTAATTTAATTATTTTTAAATTTCTTATTCGAATTTCAATAAGCCGAAATTGAAGAAAATGTAGGAAAAAAATTTCGTATTTATCGAAAATTCAGCTTTTTGGCTAAAACTGCTCCAAGAAATGTTTCTAGTACTTTACGTAGATAAACTGGGTTTCTTGGATTATGAGGCGATGATTTTGTTAACAAAAGATAAACTTTCTTTCTAAAAATAAGGGTCCATCAGCGGCCCAAGGATAAAATCGCTGGACACTGGTAGTTCAAATCTGGATTTAATTCCAGACGAACGGGGCTGGCTGTACGGGCATTTTCGTGGTTTTCTTCATGTGTAATGTGTATAAGAGCCATTTCCCTTCGAAAATCTTGCACTAAGGCATCCTCCGCTTAAGCAGCCCTCGAGTGCTTTTCCATAGTCAAATGAACCAAAACAAGCATAGAAAGAATTGAAAACTGTATAAAATCATAGATTTTCTGATTAATCAGCAACCATTACATTCGAAGGCGTTTTGACTCTACTTTTTAGCAGATAATGGTAGCTCTAATTTTTTTAAGAATTTCTGCCTTGTTCTTAGAATTATTAAATCGTGGAGTAACTCTTTGGATGCATTTATAAAACAGCTTTTAATTCTTCACCATCTCTGTATGGTTTTCTGTCGTAGAAATCTCTTTACCAACATTAAAACTTGTAGTATTAATACTGTTGAAAGATTGCGCCCAATAAATAAATGTAGAACTTAGTTTATCTTGACTTTCCTGAAATTCCTCAAATGCTTTCTTCCCAGCATCACCGGCAGGACATTTACTGCCAATTGACGGTTTTTTTTTTTTTAGTTGTAAAGTGTCTCCGAATTTGGCTTCTGTTTTGCTAATTTTTCAAAAACGTTTTCTTAACAAATAGTAAGGTCGGAAGGCCATTTGAGTTTTCTATAAAAGCGAATGATTCTATTAATTCATGGTTTATGTCTTCAGTTTTTCTTTGCTTGTTCTTTGTAGCTATGTCAAATAGACGGTACCTAAAAACATGTTTTGTTTTATAACGATAAATGCTACGACACAAACTTACGACAACTTATTAAATTGATGCCACAAATACCTGCGAAATCTGCACCTGATTGAAAGATACAAATAGCTTAATATGTCAAGTAGGCACTCTCTCTGTCGCTTGAGACTTTTCGGGAAGCTAGGCACCGACCATTGTACACACTGAAGAACAATCTGTAGCTAGCTCACGTTCTCTCAACTCATGCATTAGTGGCGTGGGAATCCTCCATGCTCGTCTGCGCTACGTCAAGCTGACTGAAACCTCATGCCCTCGCACGTAGCCGAAATCAGTTCGTGGCAGAGCCGCACACGCGTGGCTAAAGAACAGGTCTAGGTAACATTTATTCTTTTAATGTGGTAAGATCACAAGTTAAAACATTCGCGAGGAGAGCCGTTTGGTGCATTAGTAACCGCTATAGTCACAACGGTGTTGAATGCAAGCATGCAAAGGCGCGTGCATTGTGTCGTACAGGAAGCCGTGTGGGAATTCCATTCCTGCTGCACATGATCACTCAAATCAATAACGGTTTGTGCTGGTTGTGGATGACACTGGATTTGTGATTCAGTCATGTTCCATACGAGCTCAGTGGGATAAAGATCGGGTGATCTCGCTGATCAGGCAATATGTTGACTCTCTATAGCTCACGCTGTGTAATAGAAGCGGTATGAGGAAAAGCATTATCCAGTTGAAAAATGCCTCTTCGAATACTGCTCAATAATGGCAGCACAACTGGTGCAGTCACTAAACCCTGGCGCATGAATTTGCTGCCAACGTGTGTGGGATAACGAGAAGAGTGCTCCTACTGTCATAGGAAATTGCTTTTCCAGACCATAAATTCCGGTGTAAGTCCAATGTGTCTATGACGCAGACAGTTTTATTCCAAGCACTCGTCTAGCTTCCTTCTAACCAACATACGGCCGTTACTGGCATCAAGACGGAAACAGCCCTAATCTAAGAGCGGAACATATCTCCACTCTCCCTTCCAATGAGCCCTAGATTAATAGATGATACTGACAGAAGTCGCAGATGATGGTGATTTGGAGTTAGTGATGTGGTCGCTACAGGGCGCCTGACTCGAAGCTGTCCGTAAAGTAATCGATTTGTTGCAGTTCGCTGTGTCACTCCGATGCCAACAAAAGCTCGAATGATTGATGGAGATAAAGTGCGATATGCCCTAGACATGCGGCGAATACGGCGGTCTTCGCTTTAAATAGTGGTATTTGTACAGCTGAACCCCGGCTTTCTTGAGACAGCACTTACCTTGACCACTGCTGTAAACATGTATACGCAATGAATACATCACTTCGTCTTTCTGAATACCGCGGGAAAAAGTCTATCTTTTCGTAGCGTTATTAGGCTTCGTTCAAACTCAGTAAGCTGCTGACGGTGCCTTCTTTAAAGGCAATCTCAACTTATCTCTCTCACAGTGGCCAATCCGGAAAATCACACGAAGCTTACATTGCGTATTTAATTTGCATGTTCACAGTGGAGCTACTAGTGAGCTGTTTATTCGTCTGACGCAGAATTCGAACAGATATCACCTTTCAAATGTGCAAACACGCCTCCCTAATTTCGATTATTTATCAGAACTCCTTCTTTGCGCTGGTATTTTATTTTCCATCAGGTGTCTTTAGGTCCGTATGTCTGTTTAACAGCATGTTTCTTATAAGAGGGCGGAAGCAAAATTTTTTAAAATGGAAATAC